TATTTTAAGGCCTCATGTCTTGGGTTCAGGTGAGGATCTCAGGGTTATTGACCAAACGATCCTCAAAATCCTCATTTCATAACTTGGAAAATTCTCAAGGCTCCATCACTGCCGTGGTCACCACTAACAGAAACAACTCTGACCCTTGGCCTGGATAGGAAGGTACAACCTCACCCCTTGTTTCTCTCTTGTGAACTCTCAGAGGTCCGGCTTTGGTCTTGGTAAATACATATTTAGACACTTCCTTCCAGTCATTTTTCCCTATGCTTATATGAAAAATAGGACCATATTTTCTGCAAAGGCAATTATATATGTATAATTTAAGTAATGGAACATAAATGCAAATTTCCAATGATAAAACATCATAATACACATAGAGGTAAGTATTGGGTATGACTGAAGCCTAGCTGTCTATGGCAACATTGGAAAAGGCTGCTCCCATCATGGTGGTCCTTAACATGTGTTACCTTAGGGTCATCCATATGTCGGTGCTGAGGAGGGATTAAGCTCTTGGGGATTTCACTTCTTTAGCCCAGATGTGCTACTTACCAGATGTGTAGACACTCATAAGTCACTCCCCTCTATTATAGGATGTAAACAGCCATATCCATCTGCATAGCCTCTCAATTTGACTTCACACTTGTGAAGATCAAATGAGGCATGACTTACCCATCAAAGATCTTTGAAAGATAAAAGAGCTGTATACAAACCTAGCAGAGCGCTGGTATGTGCAAATTTCCCTCAGAGCACTTATTGGAGTTCCCCAGTATGACACTTCACATTCCCTTTCCCCATGTCCACCAGCTGTCCCATGGATGAAACAGTCCTCGTGCATGAGAACGGCAAGGATCACAGAGCCACCTTCCAATTCAATGCTTTCCGATTCCAGAACATCCCCAAACTCTCTAAGGTTTGGTTGCACTGTGAGACATTCATCTGTGACAGTGAGAAGCTCTCCTGCCCAGTGGTGAGGGTCCTGGCTCTGGAAGGGGAAAGTTACCCCAAGGGGGCTGGTATTGAAAGAGTTGGGTTTGAGTTGGGAGGTACGGGTCCCATGTGCAGGTCCCAGCCTGTCCACCCTGCTGCCACAACCTACCAACCTGGCATGTTTCACTTAGCCTGGTTGACCTGGTTTCCTCATCTTTCAATAGCACTCATTGGTTCTAATGGGTATTTCCAATTCAGAAAACAATGTAAGATAAAATAAAAAGTAACAACAGACATGGAAATGCTTTGAAAAAGATTAAAGTGTAAAGGAATTCAAGATCTAGACAAAACTCAAATAGAGAATGACTGTAGTCTAGATTGGCCACTCTTCAGAGAAGTGCTGCTGAAATTCTGGGTCAAGGTTGATTGGACAGCAAGAGGAACAGCCAGCACCCTGTGTTCACAAACCATCAGGTGATTCTGGCGCTTACTTAACTGGACAATACCTTCTCAGTGACTTAAAAATGCTGAGTTCTAAGTCATTGCCCTCTCTGGCCTTTATGACCTGGAGGCCTCAGAGAGTCTAAGAACAAGAGGCTGTAGGCCCACGTGGCCTACAGGAACCAGCAGAAATGAGGTTATGATCTCTACTGTCAACTCATATGACCAGAAATTGGACATTAATGAACACAGAGAGATAAAGGCAAAGGGTCAGAGGATGCTGAGCTAGAGAAAAGAAAGGAAACATTTAACAAGCTAATCAAAGGATGAGTGTTAATATTGCATTAAAATAAAGTATAAAATAAAGCAGAGGGCATTTTCCAAGTGTCTGCTTCTCCAGTGACTGCAACGGGAGTCCCTGGAAGAAAAGCCTTCCTCCTTATCCAAAGGCCTCGTATCCATTCCTCCCACGGGAATAAACATGGTAACTGGGGACTTGGATCATGCATCTCATTCTGTTCTTTCATCTTTCCTTTCTTTGTTCCTTTCTCCTCCTGCCCCTCCGCATCTTCAGAACTGTGACAAACGGAAGCGCCTGATGCGGGACCAGACAGGGGGTGTCCTGGTGGTGGAGCTGTCCCTGCGAAGTAAGCCTGTTCCCCAATAGTCACGTGCACTCTGGAGGTGTCCACAGGCACTGCGAGTTTGAACATTTTGTCAAACCCGCAGTGCCTGTGACCACAACCCTCATCTGCTCTTAGAGTCTTCCAGTAGGGATTGGGGGAGCCCTTAATCATGGGAACCCAAGGAGGCGAGGTTAGTTGACTGCCCTGAAAAGTCCTATCTGGGCCCAAATCCAACTGTTCCCAAGGAATCAAGAAGTGCTGAGTTTACAAACTGAGTATGCAGGGAGCAATGGGAATGGAAAAACACATGTAGGAATGTCAAGGACAACTCAGCAAGCCTTCAGTAAGCACGCTGTACTGCCTGGTCTGGGCTGGGTGCTGGAGTTTCAGAAATAGACGTGCCTCATGGAGGCCCTGTCTGCAGGATTTTGCCTTCCTAGCAAGGAGAAAGAGATAGTAGACCCTATGGAAAAGGGGGGATAAGCAGAGTGCTCCAGGAATGGAAGGCCACAGGAACTGACCAGTCCAGGCCTTATGGACTGCTGGAAAACATTAAGATGACCTGGAAAATACTGTGACCAGAGGGTAAGCCAGACCTGTGCATAGAATTTAGCACTTGTACCTTGAAGCACAGTTACAACAGCCCATGGCCAAGTCGCTGCCCCCCTGATTGTGTGTGGCCCACAAACTAAAAGAGGTTTTGTACATTTTTATGTGGTTAAAAAAAAAAAAAGAAAGAAAAAGAAAAGCATGATGGATAATAATTCAGTGAAATTCAAATTTCAGTGCCTCTAAAGTTTTATTAAAACAGACACTTGTTCATCTAGGTGGCAGTCTACAGATACGTTTCTGCTACAGTGACAATGTGTATTAGTGGCAATGGAATCAATATGGCCGTGCCAAGTGTGGTGACACACAGGTGTGACCTCAGTACTCAGGAGTTTGAGGCAGGAAGATAGTGAGTTTGTGGGCCAACCTGGCTTCATAGTGAGACCCTGTCTAAAAAAAGTAAAACAAAAGACCACATGGCCTCTTGTAAAGCTAAAAGCATTTACTATCTAGTGCTTTATAAAATATTTGCCAGCCCCAGCTTTAGAGAGCCAAGGAGAAAATGGTGTGAGAGGAGGTGTTTATACACATTAGTAAAAACTTTTTCTTTAAGACAATGGGTCATAGTTTAATAAGGGGTAGAACATGGTCATGTGTCAGAAACAGTTCTGAGACTTCTTCTATGACTTCCTTCAACCTGCATTCTCTCTCTTTGCTTACTCCAGGCAGGGGATTTTCCAGTCTCTATAACTTCTCAGGTAAGGACAAGAGTCATTTCTGAGAAATGGGCAAGTGGGGGGATGCTTTTGTGAAGTGGATGTTCATCTAGGTGGTGTGTTAAAGCGGGTTACTTTGGCTTATCAAAATCTTTCATTGAAAACATATATTTTAAAGTACACCTGACTGCGGCAGAGAGGGGACAGGTGAAGAGGGGTCTCTCTCCAGCCAGCCCCTGGCCCCAGGGGGAGGAACTGGGGTTCCAGTAGATGAAGTACTATCAGATCCCACACCACCCCCTGAGAAAAGCCTCACCAGGTGGCTTCACAAGGATCCCTGCATTTGGAGAACATGATTTTCAACAATCTGTTCATTTAGCGACTATCTGAAGCCCTATTACAGTTCTGCTGTTCACTAATGGAGTAATCTTGGATGATGCCATCGCCACTCCACATTCCTATTTCTGCTGGGAAATTGGGCTAATAATTGCCCCTAGCATACATGCTGTCATTTGAATTACTTAGTTACAGCTCAGGGCATTAAGCAATACAGAGACCCCTTAGAGGAAGAACAATTTCAGCTAAGACCCAGGATCTCACTGGCAGAGAAGAAAGTAGCTATGCAATGCAAGGAGATCGGGTGAGGCAATTCTAGTAATTTGTAAACCCAGAGATGTAGGTTTCACTACCATCATTATAAGAAATTATGTAAATCAACTCCAATGCTGGCTTCTCAATTTAAAGGAACATTCTCCAGGGAAAGCCCTTTAGCGAAATGTACTTTTACTCTGTGATTTAAGCTTGTGTGTCTGTTTGCCAAAGGTCCACAGTCCAGGTTTCTGTGTTTGGGTCTTTGTATTGGTTAAAAAATGATTAATGGGGTCTCCAGAGAACAAACAGAAATGACTGGGAGTTTTACAACAACCTGCCTAAGGCCCTGAGTTGACACTCTTGTTGTCTTAACTCTAGTTGAGTTGTCCTTGACCTACAACTATTTCTCAGTGCTGTCTTCACCTGCTCTCTTTCACAGATGTTCTCTATCACCTCATCGTGATGCTGGGGATTTGTGCTGTATTATAGGAGTTGGCTGAGCAGCTGCAGCAACTCTCTCCAAGGCCATCCTCAGCTATGACAAACTCATTTATTGTCCTGCCAAAAAGAACAAACAGAAGACTACATTGTTGGGGAGCAGAGACTAGTGCTTTGCCAAATATATGTTCCAGTGATTTTCTTTTAAATTTGGTGATCCACGACCTTTGGTGCCCCACTTCCTCTTGGTAATTCCCATGGCCAATAGATCCCTACCAGCCTCTCCCCCACACCTGGAGGAGGAGTCTTCTCTCCTACTGAAATCAAGGCTGCATTTGAAAGATACAACCATTGTGCAAGACTCTCACTCAGTCAGGTGCAGCTGAGCATTTGGAGGTGGATGTAGGGAAGGACCACAAAATCAATGTCGAGTATAGAATTCACAGGAACAGTCAACTTTAACCCAACAGCTCTACCATTGAGACTGTGCTGTTCTGCCTAAGGACCAGAACTAAGTCTCTAGGCAGGGGGCTCCAATCTTCAATCAATGATACGGAAATTCAAATGAAATATGGTATTTTTTATCAAACTTTTATAGTAAATAAGAAATGGAATCTTGAGAGCCCCTAGTATGTTTTGTTTTTATTAGAGTGTTTCTTAAATATATGTAAACATTAGGAAGATATAAAATCCTTATACTTATAGCTGATATATACTTCTATAATCAAAAGAAAGTTACAGATTAAATAGAAAGTAGATTGAAAAAGGAGTAAAATTCACATTCATTTAACATAATTATGTGACATTGCCTAAACTAAATGTGCTTGCAGTAGGACAATGGAAAGACTCTGGCTGAGTCCAAGTTCTCTGAGCATCAGATTTGGTACTATCATATGCCTATTGTGCTTGATGTCTTACTACCCTTCTCATTTTCTCTAAGAAATCTTCACATCTAGAATCATCTAATGCATTTTGCCTTTACTGAAAACAATCAAGCTGGTATCTGTTTCCACTTCATTTACTTATGATCATGGGAATGGAACCAACAAAAAATCAAAAATGCAAATATTACTAATGACATCACATAGCGGCACACCCTCATAAATGGCCACTCCAGAGATCCTGAAGATGCCAGTGTCCGTGACTCACATCATTCAACAGATGAAATGGAATGACTGACCCAACCTGGGTAGAAAGCTGGTGGGAGTGTGACAGAATCAGCCTAAATTCAAGTTTTTTTTTCTTTGTCATATATAGACTTAATTAGTGGCTTTATCATTTGAAATCACATGTTAGTTTGTCCCTCTGTATTTAATGCATTTGAGAAGTTTTGAGGTCTGCAGTTTGATGATTCTTCCATACCTTGCATGATTGAACTCAGAAATTAAACTAGTTACCAAGTCTCTGGAGACACGAAGAACATGTTTGCTTAGCCACAGGTTAGAGTACAATCATTCGTGCAGTCTAAACTTGTGTCCAAGCTGGTGTGCCAATCAGTTTGGGGCTTGCTTCCTAAAGTAAATTCAGAGTTTGTTGCAGTCAGGAAAGACAGAAGACATGTTGCATTGATTTCACTCAAAAACTCTTAAATTGCATACTTATAGCCAAATTCATATGTCTTTGGTTGTCAGAATAAAACAATGTGGTAGTAGTTTATTGTTATGATTTATAATTTTGTATCTCCACCTGGTGCTATAGAATAAATAAAATGTCTTAAATAACCTATGACTACAATGTTTAGTTTTAATATATCATATTGGAGGCCAATTCCTCAACTCTCCCAGGGGCTTCTAGAGCATCATAGAATCCAAATATTCTGTCGACATTCAATTATTCTGTCTTCTGTTTGTACTTTAAACACTCCAGGACTGGGATTTCCAGGCAAGGGGACAAAGGCAGTAAAGTCATCTGGTATGACTAACATTGGAGGGGGTGGAGTCACTTGGGTCATCCCTGCCCATAAAACTCCAATGTCTCTTGCCAGCAACTAGATGTGTTTGGTTTAAGTTCAACTAATAGCTCATAGTGTATGATCACCCTTTCTGTCTTATGACCTCTCTATGAGGGATTAAAAGAAAGTAGCCTCACTGTAATCTCTACTGTATATTCTCATTCATGCTAAACATAAAACAGGTACCTAGAGAAAAGAAAAATGCATACTCCCTTAGGTAACCTTGGTTGACACAAAATATAGATTTTAGGAAACTGCTCTTATCATAATTCCTAGCTATAATATCCATTTTCTTTCTCCTTTTCTCTCTCTCTCACTGTCTTTTTATCTCTCCTCCCTCTTCTTCCTTTTCTCCCTCCCTCCCTCCTTCTTCTTTCATTCCTCCTACCCCATATGTATATATACACATATACCCAGTATATGTATGGATAAGTGTGTGTGTATGTGTATACAAGTGTATATGTGGGTGTCTGTGTTTGTACATGTGTGCATGTATAGTTCTGGATATCAAATATTTATTTCACATAAAGAGTACAGATTTAATGAAGGCTTTATTATTACAGTAATATAACTTAGGTAAGCAGGTGGGCTGCGGCTAGACACAAATGTGTGTGCTTAATACAAACCCAAAGGCAGAACTATAGTAGGTAATCACCTTATTCAACCCCATCTCTATAACTGAATATCACTTTCTAATGCCCTTTTAATGTAGCAATATTAGATTATTTGGTTACTTCACTTTGTCTATAGGTCTGCTAGTCCTTAATGTTGCATTATTGCTTTTGAAAATGTCTCCTTCTGACTCTACTGCAAGCTTCACATTTGCTTATATTCCCAATGCTAACACAGAGTAAAAACCTAGTAAATTAGGGGTGGAATTCATCCTCCCTGGGCTAATGAAATGCTCCAATGGATGGATGAATGGGTGGATGGGTAAATGAATGGATGGATGAATGGATGAATGGATGGAGAATGGCCCATGTATCTAAGAGATGTGCAACAATGTTGTTTGATTTCTTTCATGCTTGAATAAGGTATTTAGAATAAAAATCCATGATGCTAAACAAGGAAGGAAGAGATGAAGCCTAAGAAAACAAAATCTGTCCATCGTCTCCATGCTGGAGTAAAAGGGAGAAAACGCCCTAGCATAAATGCCTTCTGCCTGCTTTCCTTCTGAGCATAGTCTAAAGCTGTCAATCTGATACTGAACGCTTTGAGGAGAAGCAGAACCTGTCACCATGAAAACAGAATTATATGGTGAAAAGGAAATCTGTGGAGGTCGCAGAAATCTTTCACTTGTCTCTGGGAAGAAACAAAATCCAGGAGATGGGACTGCTTAGGGGCCCCACCAAGGCAAGCTTATTTAAGAAAGCGCTTTCCCTGGTCCTGGCTGAGTGCTGTGCTTCCCAAGACAGGCAAGCATTGCACCAAGCATTTTTGTCAACAGAGCATGAAAGGCCCCTAGTAAATCAAAAGGAAACTTTTTCCACCCCTAATGCAATAGTCAGAAATATCTCTTCAGCCCTTTACAGTAACAAAGAAAATCTAGCTAATGTCAGTGGGTCTCAGTTCTTCAGTCCTGGGAATTTCAACATGCAAAGGTGTCAAATGCATTTCATTCAACTGCTCTCTCGTATTCAGGAGCAACTGGACAGAAGCTGTGTAGACTGAGGAGTGGCAAGAGGTGAAGAAAGAAGTGCTGTAAACATATTAGTGGGCCAGCAGCTCTATTGAAAGAATCCTTGAATATACAATACAGCACTTAACTTTCTGTGTAGAAAGGAAAATAGCCATCACAGGAACCAATAGGTTCATCTTAAATCTGCTGGAAGTTTTTAAAACTAAACTCTTCATAAACGGATGGAAAATTCCATCTAAAATTCAAACCTTCAATGCAAGAGATGTTGCTCTCGTACAAAAATTAGGCAATAAATTGAGAACTGGAGAGTATCCATTGTGCTTATAGGAAGTCAGAGCTGTGAACCGAGCCTTCCAGCACTGCAGTGGTCCTGTCTTCCTATAATGACTTAGCACTGCTGGGCTTCTGGGTCTACCTACACCCAAGAGCTTTTGCCCTGAGCACATACTGAAGGCCTTTCTGACACTGGCTCCTAGTTCCTTACAAGCTGGTTAAATGAGAAGAGAAATAAGAGGTTAAGGGGTAGCTGCCTTGCAGCAGTATGTGCTGAGGTCCAGGCCTCACCCTCCCCTCACCCTCCCCCAGAAGGAAATGAATTTGCTGCAAATTCATGTAATATTGGTCTGAAAGTCCCTGTCAGCTAGGACGGGCTCATTGGCAGGTCCCAGAAACTGAGTACACCATACCCACCTTATCCATGTGCACACTAAGGCTACAGGCTGAGAGGAAAGTCTGGAGCAGGCAGCATCAGCTAAATAGCACCCCCTAGTGGGAGACTAACTCAATACCCCAGAACTGCACCTCTCCAATGGGATACTGGATGCATCCCAAAGAGAAATCCACACACACTTCAGTGGGCCTCAACAAACATCCTGAAAGAACATACCCACCTCCTCACGAGATCTCTGGAACTTCAGCTTCTTCCCCAGTAAACTCGGGGAGTGGAATAGTGAAGCCATCTTTGCCTTTCAACCAGAAGGTTGTTTGTTCCCCCTTGCCCTGTGGGAAGCAAAGGAGGCTCCGGTGAGTCACAGAGGAGGGACTGCCTGGGGCCACATAACATGTCTGGCTTGCTTGTCTGTACAACAGGAGCCACCTCTGTAATGAAAAGACCTCCTTACAGATGAAATCTTGACGACTCTCTACGTAAGCAATCAGCAATGCTCTAATGTGGAAGGGCTACAGAGACTAAAGTTTGTTACCCTAAATTTAACAAAATATACTGCACTCTAAGAGTGAGTTGGACACCAGGTAAAGAACCTCACATATATGTTACTTTGACTACTGGAACCCAGAATTTTCACCATGCCCATTTTCCACATGGAAAAAACAAGTCCCCAAATCAGACAACTAGTAAGGAGTGGTACAGGATCCCAAGCAGGATCCTAAGCAGGGTCCACAGTTCTTCCCAGAAGGTCTTCCTCCTAGCTGAAGTCAGTTGAAGGCATACAGTGCCCCAGGGCCAAGCTTAGCAAACCAAGGGTTTGATGCCACTCTCTTCCCTTTCAATGTCTTTTTTCCTTTTTACAGTACTGGGGATTGAACCTACATCCCCATGCATGCTAAGTAAATGCTCTACCACTGAGCTACAGCCACAGCCATCCCTTTCACTTCTTTTAGGTCCCCACTCCTACCCAGACATGCAGTGTCGTGGTGACCAACCACTGGTCCTATGTGTACATCTCCAAGATGATTCTGAGGACATCACAAGAGCAGCACCTGTTCTCTCCTCCCCACCTTGGGAAAGGGGAATCTGAAGGGGCTGATGAAAATGTGTCATGCAATCATTTCAGTGACAGACCAGAGTGAAGAAGAAAGAAAAAAAAGTTGTTTTTTGTTTTTAATATAATGAATAGAGATGACGTCGTGGTATCTCCAAGGCCAAGCCAATGGATTTCTGGCCTCTCTCTCTGGACACCTTAGCCCCAGGTGGTGGGACACAGAGGAAAAGTGTTATAATGATTCCTTGGGTGGTCTCTGCTGTTGGTTTATGTGAGTGGCTACACTGGAGTGCCCAAGCGGAAGCCGACACATCATTAGTGTAGAGAGTCATTCGTCTCTCCCAGTTCTTCAACACGTCTGTCAAGGGCCCAAATTGAGCAGGTAAAGCACAGTTGGCCCAGCCTTACCTTGACTGGAATGGTGCCTCTCCTTTGTAGATGGTACCCTCCTGCTGCCAGAAGGGCGCCGGCAGTGCTCTGAGATACGTGGATCCGGAGAGCTGCCAAAAATTGGTCATTACCTAGTTACTATCTTGTCACTTGGCGTCAGGGGGTGGGGGTTTCCTTGGAAAGGGAATCTACCCTACTCTGGTTCTTTGATTCCCAGCACTTCTCATTAAATAAAGCACATAGCTGAGTACTGCAATCCCAGCACTTGGGAAGAAGAGACAGAAAGATCAGGAATTCAAGGCCAGCCTCTGCTACATGATTCAAAGCCAGTCTGAGCTACATTAAGACATTGTTTCAAACAAACAGATGTATGTATGTATATATGTATGTATGTATGGATGGATGGATGGATGGATGGAGATACATATAGACATACATATATACATATATACATACATTACAAATTGGGGTGCTAGACAGATGACAGTAGGTAAGAGCAGGTTCCATTCTTATAGAAGACTCAAGTTCAGTTTCTAGCACCCACATTGGGTGACTCACAACTGACTGTAACACCAGTTCTGACCTCAGTGGACACCTGCACATACAAGGCATATACACTGGTTGGTTTTTGCCAACTTGATATAAACTAGAGACACCTGGGAAGAGTGAACCTCAATTGAGCAATTTCTTCATCAGATTGACCTGTAGGCCTGTCTGTGGTACATTTTCTTGATTGCTAGTTGATGTAGGAGGGTCCAGTCCACTATAGGCTGTGCCTTCCCCCAGGCAGGTGGGCCTGGGCTATACAAGAAAAGTGGCTGAGAAAGCCAGGGGGAAGTGAGCCAGTAAGCAGCGTTCCTCTGTGGTCTCTGCTTCGGCTCCTGCCTTGAGCTCCTTCCCTGACTTTTCCCAAAGATGTACTGTGCCTTGGAAGTTCAAAAGGAAATGAACCTACCTTCCCTCAACTGCTTCTGGTCAGTGTTTTATCACAGCAACAGAGAAGCAAACTGGAACAGTACACACACACACACACACACACACACACACACACACACACACACACATACAGAGAGAGAGATATGTAATTAAAAGTAAAATAAATCTTGCAAATAATTTTAAAGCACAAATAAAAGCTGATATCTAGGCCATATAGGCTGGGACCCTGTGCATTCTATGTAATTAAAAGTAAAATAAATCTTGCAAATAATTTTAAAACACAAATAAAAGCTGATATCTAGGCCATATAGGCTGGGACCCTGTGCATTCATCAGACACCACTGGGTGCTGCTCAAGTTTTAGTATTGGGTTTAGAAACACTGAGAACTGGACAAGTGTACAATTTTTCAGTCCCTATGAATGGAAGTCCATTGGGCTCCTCAAAGTTTCTGAAATGAGCTGAGATATAGTACTTAAAAATGCTGATTATATCCAAAAGTGCAACTAGAGTTAGGTTTGGAGCTTACCTAAGAGCCAACTTCCAAGTTATTCTTTAGACTGTCCTTGAAATTTTAAATCGTGATTTTAAATTGGTTGATTACCTTAGACAATGAAATAATTGTGTGTGTATTTATATTATGATAAATCTGTGCATTCAAAGCACTGTTAACCTAAATTCTTTGAAACTTAAATCACTAAGGAAATCTTTTTCCATGTTTCAATGACAAAGGGCATACATTGATCCACAATTAGTGCAATAAAATTACTAGAAAGCAAAAGAATATGTTTCCTAGAGTGCCTGGTGATAGATTTCCTCTATACCAACAAGAATATATTCTTTCTCAGAGATGAGAAAACAACCACTCATAGGCCATAGTCAGTCCACTATTTGTGTTTGCAAATAAAGTTTTATTAGAACAGGGTCTTTCTATTCATTTACATGTTTCTAAGATTACTTTTGAGCTACCACATCAGAATTAAATGGCTGAAAATAAGCTGAAAATGGTCCCTAAAGTCTAAAATAGTTACTGCCTGTCCCTGTGCAGAAAATGATTTCCAATTCCTGTTCTGCACCTTCACGCTTTCAGTCCATATCTGTTGAGAATGGAAAGAAGGATGGGAGGGATGGCTCAGTGCACAAAGTGCTTGCTGTGCAAGACGCAGACTTGAGTCCTGATGACCAGCACCCACATAGAAGTTGGACGTGGTACATGTCTGCAATCCCAGTGCTAGGGTGGTTAGAGTGGAGACAGGTGAATCTTGAGGGTTTGCTGGTCACCTAGCCTAGCCAATCAGTGTGTTCCAGGTTCAGTGAGAGTCTCAAAAATAAAGTGGAGAGTCAATAGGATCTACCTGAGATCTACCTCTGGCTTCGTCATGTACACATGCATGAGTGAGTACATGCCTCCACACAAGTGCACATACATAAAAAGACACTCCCCCCACACACACACAAATGGAAAGACTTGGAAGGAGGAAGTCTTGTGTGTTCAAGTGACTCCACTGAGAACAGGGGAAAATCCTGTTTATACAGCTTGTGCTCAGGGTTGTCTCTAGGGGCTAATGATCCTATCGTCCAGATGGAAAACAGAAGACAAAATGCAAATGAGTCTTCTAAAAATACCCACTGGTTAAAGATAGAGGACTAGAGGGACAGAGATATTGTGTTTGCAGAGTGCTGAATGATACCCACGTAAACTGCTGCTTTCCATTCTGGATGCCATATTCACGGTGTCTCCAAACAGACAGTATCTGGGCATGGTGATCCCCACCACACCAGCCACCACAGGACCTAAGGAGGAGAGAAGGACAGGGCATAACTGCCTGCATTTCCCAAGGTTGGGCTCCATGATGTCCATCGGGTCCATAGAGGCAATTAATTCAATAACTGTTTAAGAGCTTTCTTGGGGCAAAGCCTGGCACACATACCTTGGGATTTTTCTAAAGTAACCTACAGAACTCACATACTTCTGGTAGAAAACAACATAGTCAAACAATGGCCATGGGATTTATGAACTACAGTAATAAACAAACCCTACCGCAACACAAACTTGTGTAATTAATTTTGACTGGAGATCAGGTGTTTTATTTTAGTTGGACAGTAAAAGGAAACACACAAGCAGAAGCAAGTCCCCATTTTGGAGACCCAAGAAAAATGAAAATATGAGTTTATTATCCAAAGGATATTAAGGCACCTGCCTGTACCTTCAGGGATGCTGAGAGGCTGAGGCAGGATGATCACAAATTTGAGGCCAACCTCAGCTACACAGTAAGATCTCAGAAAACAAAATTCAGTACAATGATAGAGTGTTAAGCCAAGCATGGGTGCCTTTCTCCGCATGTTCCATGCCCATAATTTTGACAAAGACAGAACACAACAAAGGGCAATTGAAACATATACATGAAGGAGAAGCCACTCAGTAGGACTCCTGGGTTTTGTTTTTCTTTATTTTCAGTTCAACATCTTGGAGCCACTGTGCATCCTTATTACTACCAAGCAGCTCAGCTAACTGGGAATACATGCCCAATCTGTGTTGTCCCACAACACTATTGTCAGTTAACAGCTGTGTTTCTAAAAGCCTCAGACATAGGGCTCAGGCCCAGGGCCACTTGCAGTCATACAGAGCATCATCCACTTGTCATCAGCTCTGGCTACCTGTGTGGAGGCCAATGCGGAGTTTGAGCTGCTCCTCAGGCATGTGCCCAATCTGGAAGTAGGTGGTGGCACTGAGCAAGTGCAGGGACATAGTGGCAATCTCGTCCACATGTTGGGTTCCATTGCGGATGGGAAGCCCGCTGGCCACCATGTACGCATCTCCAATGGTTTCAACCTGAAAATGGCACAACAAAGTGACCTTTGTTTCCTCTGAGGGATGGGGAGGAGATGGGGTTGGACAAAAAGGCCCCCATTTCCCAGCCACCTCCTGAGGCTACATCCTTCAAAGCCCCACTCTTGCTGATCTCTACCCCATCCAAGTCTCAGAATTTCTTGAAGCTGCTGATATTGACCTGGTTCCTCCACAAAACCTGCCTCCTCCTCATAGTCACTGCTTGTGCCTCTGAGATTGGACCATACTGGTGACCATATCCCCAGCCCAAGATCTGTTGGATAAATCTTGAAGGATCAAGTGGAATCTATCTTAGCCAACCTGAAATACCCTCATCCCATGCAAGGGCTCTTATACATGTAGATGTCTTTTGAACTATATCCCCTTACACATGCATACACATTTGTATCTCTCGTTTGCCCTCTTCTCCCCTGACCCTCCTGACAAAGTCAGGGTTCAGATCCCCTTTTCACATAGCAATAATAGATAGATGCTTAAGGCTTCACCCTTTTGCACTTGTAGTAGGAACAATTCTGTCCTATAGGAATATCTCTCTCTTTGTGACCCCCAAATCACAAAAAGTCAACTACTCAGCAAGTCTCATCTGCTCCCAGGTCACCTTTCCCTACTTGAGAACAACCTTGGAAAATATAAACCACATATAATACCCACATGTGCCAAGCATCACTGACAAGAAAACTTAGGAAGAAAGACCCAGAGGACACTGCGCTAGGCAGGATAGATTCTGGTCTGTGGAGTAAGGGATCTGCTCTTGAAGGCTACCCATGCCAGCTTTTCAACCCTGAACAGAGGTATCATTTGTGGGAAATACTTGGAGTTGGCCACTGAGTATCTGTCACCCAGGGATATGGTTATACTGCTCCCCAAACCTTATCAATCCCAGAACACCAGCAGAGACGGTCCTAGAGTCATAGGCAGGATGACTACAGCTGACTACCAAGTATGGTGTGTGCACAGGCACATGGTACCACCCCTGGAACCATGGTCTGAGTCCACTGAAGAAGTCAGAGAACATGCAGGGCAGTCATGAGCACCGCCACCCAGAGTGACATTGCTGCTGGGCTTGCTGTCCTCCCACAAATGCTTTCTACTCTGGGTAACTATCTTCATAGGTCTTTTGAACAGCACCATGCAGGTGATAGCAACCGCCATCTCCCCTTCAGCCTCAGTCCAACAGTCTAAACTCAGAGAGTCTATCTTTACTCTGGGTTGCTAAGGATCATACCAGCAGAAGAGCCACAGTGGGTCCAAGGCAGGAGGTATGAGCTGCTTAGGGTCTGAAGGAAACAGATTCATGAGAGAAGAAGAGGGATGTACTAATACTGGTCAATGTCTCTTTAGAAACACATTTATGGTGATATTAAAATACTGGGAGGAAACATAGGATATATATGGTGATTGTGTGTGTGTGTGTGTGTGTGTGTGTGTGTGTGTGTGTTCATATGCATGGAGGCCAGAGGACAACCTTCATTGTTATGCCTCAGTCACTGTTCACCTTGTTGGGTTTTGTTTATTTTGTTTTGTTTTTGAGACAGGGTCTCCCTATAGCCCCAGCTGGCCTGGGACCAACTATATAGACTAGGCTAGCCTCAGTCTCACAGAAATCCACTCTGCCTTTGCCTCTCCAATGCTGGTATTAAAGGCATGTGTCACCATACCCAGTTTCTACCTTGTTTTTTGAAATAGAGTCTCTCATTGGCCTGGTACTCACCAACTAGGCTAGGTGGGCTAGCCAGCAAATCCCAAGGATCTGCTATCTCTCCCTCTCCAATGCTAAGATTAGAAGTACCACTAAGCTCAGCTTACTTTTTTACATGAGTTCTGGGGACTGAGCTCAAGTTTTCCTGTTTGCAAGGCAAATACTTTAGTGACTGAGTCACCTCTGCAACCTTCACACAGTGACTCTTGATAAGCACATACATCTGTAACTAATCAAACCCATTTTGAAGGCAAGCATGAATAAAATATTGAGCCTCTCCCATGGATTGAGATGATCTGAGATGCACTCCATCCTCAACTACACCCCAGAACAGCGATGAGGTTCTGTTTGCTTCATAGCCCAGAGCTGCATGGCTCACCTTGTACACGTCATGGGCTTGTATTATGTGATCAAACAAACTGTACAGGTCATTAAGGAGCTTCACCACTTGCAAAGGGGAGCTGAGAGAACACAGTTTTGTGAATCCCACAATGTCGGAGAAAAAGATTGTCACAGACTCAAAATGTTCTGGCTCCACAGACCTTCCAGCAATGAGCTGTTCTCCAATGAAGCTGAAATCAGAAAAGGGGATCATTTTTTTAACAGAATCATATTCAGTTTATCTTCCACAGATCTCTGAAAATTCACCCTCTCACATCCTTTGGCCTCAGGGGGCTAGGTTTTTACTTAACACAATTTACTACTAGAGGGATTCTTGTGAACATGCATGTACCACCTGCATTTTCTCTAAAGAGATATTTTAGGTGGAGGTTATAAACTGAGGAGTCAGAGAGCAGGTAACACAAATGCCTTTACTAAAAAGGTTTTCTCCTGCAAGCTGCTACGGGAGAAAAATCAATCAACAGTCCAACCCCAGCTTTAAAGCCTAATAACTACAAGAGCAACCAGGACAACAAACTTCATTGGTGCAGTAGTGGCACTTTTATCTTGGAAATAATCAACATCTATCTAATTGGACTTAAAGCCCACTCAACAGGACAGCACTCATATGTGGCACTGTAAACATAGCCAAATACACACGGCTGGAGAGGCCATGGAGCCTAGAGAAAATCCTACGTCTGTCATATCTCTTGACAAACACAACCTCTTATTATATACTAAATATGGATCCTTATATTTGCAGACAAGTATATCAGTCACCACCATCAAAGGAGCTTCTTATGCAACAGAGTCTAGTACAGAGCTCCACAACTGGTCATATACATACAGAGAACAAGGGTCTGTGAGATGTCCAACCCTAAGTGGCACCATCAACAATGGAAGCACTACACCAAAGGCTCATGGAACACAGTGGAACAAGTGGTAGAGAAGATACTAATGCGTTTCTCAATTCTCATTAGCAAAGCTTCCTCATGCAACAGAAAGTGATGTACACAGAAGGCCATAACTGACCAAAGCATAGGAATAAGAGTCCGCAGAGTGTGGGTCTCTCGACAGGACTTCTGTATTAAACTTCACCCACCTAGGCCTCAGGGACCATTGCAGAAAAGGGGGCAGAAACATTGTAAGAGACAGGGGTGGCACACGACCACAAAGAAACGAGTCACACAGACTCCTGGGAACTCGCTCATATGAGCTTACAGCAATGGTGACAGCATGCAACAAAACCCATGCAAACTCGATCAGACAGAAAACCAGCACAGGACTGGGAAAATGACCAGGAAGCCACAACCTTAGCCAAGGAACTATTGGCAGGTGATCACTGATGGGTAAAGAAGAGTTGATCTTCTTTAAGGGAGTGATAGGCTAAACAGGCTCCGGTGGATGAACTCACACCAAGAGACAGCTGGGTAACAAACTTGACTCAATAAGCTTTAACATATAAAACAGAATGTGTGAAATCCTATGGGGGCAGTGCAGATAGGGGAGGTCTAAATATGATTAAATGTATGAAATCCACAAAAATTCCACAAAAAATACATAGGAAATCAAAAAAGCTTTTCTCAGGCTAGAAATGACTAGAGAAATGACTCAGCAGTTAAGAGCACTAGTTGCTCTTACAGAGGACCTGGGTTCAGTTCCCAGCATCTATACAATGGCTAACAATTCTCGGTAACTCTAGTTCCAGGAGCTCCAATGCCTTCTTCTGGCCACTGCGGGTATTGTATACATGTGGTACATATACATACATGCAGGCAAAACACTCATACACATAAAATAAAATAAATAAGTAAATAAAAAAATAAATAAATAAATAAAAATTCTCTTCCAGGGTAGTCACTCTGGAAATTGGTCTGAAAGTTTCTCAAAAAACTAAAAATAAAACTACTATGTGACCCAGCTATACCACTCCTGGATATATACCCAAAGGACTCTATATCCTACAGCAGGGATACCTACATACCCATTCATTATTGCTCTAATCACAATAGCTAGGAAATGTGCCCAACAACTGATGAATGAATAACGAAGGTGTGGTACATACAATGGAATATAACTCTGTTAAAGAAAAATGAAATTTTCAGGGAAATAGGATTGGAAAAAGGGTGTTCTAAGTGAGGTAGCCCACACCTCGAAAGACAAACGCTTCATATTCTGTTTCATATGAGGTTCTTAGCTTCAACTCCTTGGTATGGTGTGTCTAACATGGAGTACCTGTACAAGCCAGGAAACAAGAAAGGGGATAGGGTGAAGGGGTTATCTTAAGGAAGGGGGATAGTAGAACATAGGTTAAAAGAAAAGGATATGGGGGGTAGTATGAGGTTTAGACAGGGAGGGAGGCAGGTAGATGAGGGAAAATGAGGGTGTGAGGTGGGATAAGGATTAACCTTATCTGGCATAAAAGAGGTAGAAAGAAGCCAGTTGGAAAGTAAGATGTGCCCACTTGTGCAGTTGGGAGAGTAACCAACTGCCCCCTGAATGTAGTTAAGACACACTTCATGGGGCATGGAGGGGATTAATGTCTAGTACTTCAAGTTTGGCTAACAGTCCAGGTCTAGGGAGGTAGTAGCCCCACGCAGGAAGCATATTTCCAATGGTTAACAAAACTGACATAGCAATAAACTGTCTTCTAAGTATCCATGCCTGTACCCATAGACAAACACAGCTCCCTGCCTTAACCAGAGAAACCTTACAAGGGATAGTGGAGAATGTAGACTCATGGCTGCCCAAGATTCAAAAATTAAGAGTTGGATATGGGCCCAGGCCTGAACAAGTCATTTACACCATCCCCCTCTAAGAACACTGACAAAGAGAGGGGGAGAAGTATGTAAGAGCTGACAGATAAAGGGCTATGAAATCCATCCTCTGGATGTACTACAACCATTGCAATCATTAACTCACATCAACTGCAGTTACTTGCCCTGGGCCCACACAAGACCGGCTCTATCACCCATAAGTCAAGGAAGGAGGAAGGGCTCACTGGGTCCTACCCTTTACCTCTGAACTATTGACTGTTGATAGATTCTAGGAGAGGGGTAATCATTGTCTTTGGCTATGTACTCTCTGCCCAGTCCTCCTGGCTTCAACAGATCAGTTTACACAGATGGCCCTGATCTTGTTGGGTCACAAAACAAAATGAATAGACTTGAACATGAGAGAGAAATTTGTGTGGAGCAGGGAGGGTGGATAGGAGTGGTAGGATGATGGGAGGTGATGGTGGTCAGTGTGCGTGTGCAAAATGGCAAAATAATAATAATCAAAATTAAAGCATAGTGTTTTCTTACTGAAGACCTCTCATTTCTCCTTATTGGACATAGAGTTTGATGGTAAAGATTTGGTCTGCAGATGAAAGTAAACGTAACTACTCCCCAACCCACAAATTAGTATTTTTACTTCTCTTATTAACACATTCAAACCCCACTCCCACTTTTTCAATCAACATGCAAATGCACAAAAATTTCAACAGCAAATGCTTCTTCAAAGTGTTGAGAAAGTGCACAGATGAAAAACGAAGCAAAGACGAAATAAGTTTTGAGTCTGATATCACAGGTACATACTACACTGCCCAAGGTTTCAGAGGCCCGAACTGCAGTATCGAGGTGTCAAAAATCAGACTCATGAAACTACACTGCCATCTAGTGGTCAATTTCCTGTTGCTGCATCCACAGCTTCCATACAAACCACACTACATATTTCTGCGGATAGAGAGGTTTGCCTCTATCTCTATCTAACAAGGTGTGCCAGATTAAACACACACACACACACACACACACAATCAATGCTTGATCCCTTTTAGAAGAGCCTGCTGTTCTCTTAGGAAAAGGACAACAGAAATATGGAAATACTCCCTTCATGTGAAGCCTCTTACTTAGAGGAGCATTCACTAGGTTTCTTTGGTATATCCTCTAATCTGGTTAGTTTTAATTGTCAATTTGACACAACACAGAATGACTTGAGAAGGGACTCTCAATTAAGAGATTTCCCAGGTCAGATTGATTGGGGGAGAGGTAATCTTAGCTGTTCATTGACTTAGCTGGTGGGTAGTACCACCATTTCCTAGGAGGGGGCTCCTGAACTGTGTAAGAGTAGAGAAAGCTGAGTAGCAAGGAGCAAGCAAGATCCCTGTATTCATTCACTCTCTGCTGTTGACTGTGAGTGTGATGCTTCGAGTTCTTGCCCTGGCTTCCTCTCAGTGATGCACTGCAACCTGGGATTGTAAATCAAATAATCCCTTTCCTCCCCCTAAGTGGCTTTTGGTCAGAGGGTTGCATCACAGCAGCAGTAGTGAAACCAGAACAGCCTCCACTGTTCCAGAATACCTGGGCAACATGGTGAACAGCAGCTTCTCCACCTTCCTCTTCTCTGCCATCAGCTGGCACGTCCTCTCTTCCACCACCTCCTCCAGGTGATTGGTGTACACTTCCAACTTGCCCATCATGGTATCCAGTATGCTTGTACAGCTTCAAAAGAATGCAGACGTTAACATGTCCTAAGAGTCATTTAAATGCCTCATCTTTTAGATGAGGAGACCAAGATTCAGATGGCAATAAGTTTGTCTTAAATTAGTACCATATTTTCTGAGTAAAAAGATGTTGACTAAAAGATGTTGAGTAAAAATGATGAGGGGGAAGGAAGATCCAAGATATATAGCATTATGTTAATTAACTTGATTTAATCATTCCTCGAAGTATACATATCTTGAACATCATTTGTTATACCATAACTACCAATATTTCGTACATCTATTAAAATAATATAAAAATTAGAAATAAGAAACTATTATAATCTAGAGAATGCAGAATGCAGGGCTGTTCTGCTTAGAATACAAAGTTAAATGAAAAATTAGTAGACACTTCCAGGCCAGGGCTCTTTCTGTCAACATTTGCTACCCCTGTGGGATCAAATAGTCATTGTATTTAAAATGATCCTAACAGCCTGATATGAAGAGAGCTACTATTGAGAAAATGATTTAAGAGTTATGTGTAGCCCAAAGTCAATAACCTACTCTAGGACTGAGACTGAAACTCAGTGGTCCTGGATTCAATCCTCAGCTCTGTAAATGAATAATAAAGTGGGTGAGTAATTTTTATCCTGTATTCCAACCCCAAATGATTAGTTGTGACCTTTGGAATAATGATTTGAAAAAGATGCTAAGGCAAAGTCCAAAGTTCCTGAGAGGGACTGGAGAGATGGCACAGTGGTTAAGGGCACTGCTGCTCTTGCAAAGGACCCAGGTTCAGTTCCCAGCACCCACAACCATCTGTAACTCCTGTTCCAGGGGATTTGATGCCTTCTTCTGACCTCCATAGGTACTGCACAACACAGGTGCATATAAAAAATAAGAATAATACACATAAAATAGTTTTTTAAAACGCCCTGAGAGAGAGTGCCTTGACTGATTAATGATGCCTGAAATGGACAAAGTGGTCAGGGGCATCACTGATGTCTGATCCATGTCAACGAAACAAAGGAAGTATTTGGCATTTCACTTTAGCCAGCGCATGGCACAGTGCTTTCCATGTGATAGGCACTAAGTGGATATGTGTTAAAAGAAGGAAAAAGGGAGAGAGGGAAGGAAGATGGGGAAATGAAGGATGGAGGAGAGGAGAGGGAGAGAGGAGAGGGGGAAGGGAAAGGAATTGGAAAGAAAGGACAAAGAAGGGGAGGGGAGCGGAGGAGAGGGGAGAGGGGAGGGGGAGGGGAGGGGGATGGGACCAAGAGGAAGCCTCTGTTGCACATCTGACTCACCCTCTGGGACTGGCTTCTTGTAGAATCTTCTTGATGGAAGAGAAAGTAGGCCTTTTCTCTGGGGACTCATCCCAACATGCCCTCACAAGAACTATAACCTTTTCATTCCCCTTATCCTCTGATAGGGATGGTCGAAGTGGAACCAGTGCCATGGGGTCTTTGATTCGATTGATGATTTCTGAAATTCATTTGGAGCTTGAATAAGCAAGCATCCAGCTTTGCCACTCAATACATGTCTCTCTGAACAGTGATGGTGCTCTTAACTGTGAAAACTGGGCTTTAAATAAATAGGACATATTTGAATTCCAGGAAAATCTAGTATGTTAATAGTCTAGATCATCCCCTCAAAATGAAACATTTTAAATGGAAACGCAGACACAACCTTTGATCCATCAGTTTCCTAATCAAGGCTTTTTAAAATAGAGCTTGCCTTGAAGTGAATTTGTCTCTCTGTATGATTTTAACATGGAGAAGCATTTGGCAGTGGAACTCTTCAACATGTGCTTTATGTGATTTTATACTCCATGTAATATGTTATGTAAAAATGATTTCAATGAACAAATGCTGTTTCCTCATCTGCCCAGTTTTGTAAACCTGCTCTTTCCCTTCCTCATTGGCTCCTACCAACATTTATTAAGGATTTCATTACCATATTTAAAAGGGAATGATGATTAATATTTTGATAATAATGGATACATATTTTTATACAAAAATATTATGCTAAAACAACATGAATAAATTCTGAAAGCATGTTACTAAAAGAAGCCAGTATGTAAAGATACATACATGTGTGTTCTGTTAATAAAGTCTATAAAAAGCAAAATTAGTTAGGTGGAAAATAGTCTAGTGTCTGATGGTTTGAGAGACAGTCAAATGGGCAAATTGGGGGAAAGGAATTTTTTGTCATTTTCTATGTAACGCTATAATGGTGGGCGCATGGCACTGCATATTTGGTAAAACCTAGGAGTTTAAGGAATGAAAAAAAATTTTAACTTCAACTAAGGGTGATAAAAAAGCAAGATATGGGATTCAGACATATGACTTCACTGAAGTGGGGAGGGGGAAAGGGGCTGGCCCACAGGACTTCTGAAATAAGGCAAGAGGAAAAAGAGAGTTATTCACAATCCCTCTATTCGTAACTACTATATTTCAATTGCTTCTGGGAGATCCAGTTTAACAAGTCTAAAAGCTCTGTACACATGCACCGTGATTGGAGAAACAAGTAAATAGATGGCAGATGGCAGGAGTCAGGATTCTCACTGTTGGAGAGGGAGGTTACAGATAAGCAATGGGGAGACACGAAAGCATAGTGCTGATGAGTTGGAGCTGACCACGTCGGTATAAACTCGTGGTTAGCTTATAGGTGTAGACGTACACCCGTGTGCTTATGCTATCCCTGTGTGCTATTGTCAGGAGTACACATGTGAGTTAATATACACGTGAATATTTGTTTGCTGCATCCACTGGAGAAGGGTTAGAAGGAGCTGGGAAGATGGCTCACTGGGTAAAGTGCTTACTACCCAACAGTGAGGACCAGAGTTTAGATCCCCAGAATCTGTATAAATGCCAGATGGATGTGGTGGCCCACTTGTAATTCCAGCACTCACAGGCAGAGTCAAGGGATCCCCCAAGAAAGCTGGCTAGCTGAAAAGGCAAGCTCCAAGTTCAGCAAGAGACCCTGCCTCAATATTAGACAGAGAGCTGAAGATGTCAGCCTCAGACTTCCACACAAGCAGGTGCACACTTGTACACCCATACACACGCAACCATACATACAAGTACTCATACCACACACATACACATATACAAAAAATTAAAGATTAAATAATAGTAGTTGTAATAATAATATAATAATAATGAACTTAGTCAGCAATTGTCAAATTTTTCAAGGTCATCAGAAAAGGAATCTCTGGGGGCTGGAGAGATGGCTCAGCCATTAAGAGTACTGGCTGCTCTTGCAGAGGACCCAGGTTTGGTTTGGTTTCCAACACCTACATGGCAGCTAACAACCATCTGTAACCCCAGTTCCAGGGAATCTAACTCCTTCTTCTGGCCTCTGTAAGCATTGCATGCAGAGGCAAGACATTCATACACATAAAATAAAATAAATTAAAATAAATAAATTTTAAAAAGGAGAATCTGAAAAGTTTTGTCAGAGACACTTAAGTAACTAACTAAACACAACATCATGCCCAAGATGGGATTTTGAAACAGAAAAAGAATATTAGGCAAAAACAAAGGAAATCTGAATAAAGTTTGGTCTAATCTAACAAAAAATACAGGTAATAAAATTATGTATGCCAGGTTGATGGTACGTGCCTATAATCCCAGCAGTAGGAAGTTGGAGGCAGGAGGATCCCTGAAAGTTTGAGGCCAGCCTGGTTGACATAGCAAGGCTCAAGGCCAGCCAGAGATACATAGCAAGACCCTGTCTCAAAACTCCAAACCAGCTGGGTGTGGTGGCACATGCCTTTAATCCCAGCACTCAGGAGGCAGAGCCAGGTGGATCTCTGTGAGATCAAAGCCATCCTGGTCTACATAGTGAGTTCCAGACCAGCTGGGGCTACAGGGAGATCCTGCCACAAAAAAGAAAGCAAATTGTATGTGAAATATAATCTTATTGAGGCTATGTTTTGATACCTAAAAATATTCTGAAATACATACTTAAAACTGTACTTTGAGTAAATGTGTTTTATATTCCAAATGAAGTCAAACTCAAAATAAGGGACCACAGCAGCCTCAGAAGCAGAGACATGGGGGCTGGAGAGATGACTCAGTTGTTAAGAGTACTGGCTGAAGAATGGTCAGCATCCCTATTCCCTATTGGCAATCTGGGTAACCCCTTCAGAGGATGGTGTGATAGGAATAGGAGGTAGGAACTGGCTAGGAAGTTAGGGTAAAAAAGACCCCAAAGAAATGTAGCCAGTTTCTTGGCTAAAAGTCAATATGTCCTTCAGCCTGTTAGCAGCATACTCTGTTCCAAGGCCAAAAATGTCAAAAGTATTTGGGAGCTTGTATCTAATCCTTAAAAGATTTTAGGGTTACCTCTTCAGGAGGGGGGATGTTGGAGGGGAAGGAGTAGGCATGGATTTGATCAAAACACCTTATATGCATGTATGAAATTCCCCGATAGATTTTTTGTAAAAAAAAAATTGGGGGTTCACAGTTGAATTAATACAGTTATACAATATTGAACTCGGTATAAACCCTGTAAAACATAAAATTGAATGAGTTTTTAACCTTTTTTAAAAAAAGAGTATTGCTGACGGAGGACTAGGGTTCAATTCCCAGTACCCTCCTGGTGGCTAACAACCATCTGTAACTCCAGTTCCAGGGGATCCGACATCCTCTTCCGACCTCTGTGGGCATTGCATGACACAGGTGCACTTACATACATGCAGGCAATACATTCATAAAATAAAAACAATGAAGAAAATATAATTTTTCAGAAGATAGAAGATAGTACTGCATCTTCTGCTGCCTTAGGTTGAGCACTAAGAAGTTCTTCAAAAGAGTACGTAGCAATAATGAACTGTAAGAGAAATTCACAGCAAGGCTCTGACCTCCAGGGACATGCGCTTGTTACCTAGCAACATGCAGCCTGGCGTTTCCATCCCATATCTCTACAGTGTACTAGCCACATTGTTGTTCTTTGTCTTGAGCAATGGACAGGACACTCACGTGGTTGTACAAAGACAGATTTCCGGTCCCACCCCCACATTTCCAGAAAAGCACATTTGGAGAAGGATTCGTAATTGCATTTCTGGTAAGTTCTCAAGTGATACTTGTGCTGCTGGTCCAAAGGTGATGAGGAACAAGACCAGTCCTCAGACTGACTTAGCAGAGAACTTGATGGATGTGCAAATGCTCAGGCCTCACTCCAGACTTACTGAGCCAGAAGCCCCACAATTCAGCGCCTTAGCAAGCTTCTAGATTATTCCAGTCCCACTAGAGTTTGAGAACCACCGAGTTACTGTGCACAGAGGTTAATATTCACTCATTTCCTGGAACCAGATTTGTTTGTAGGGACATATGGGAAGTCAGTGAAAGACTGTGTTTATCTTTAATTTGAATACTCAGTCTTTTCTCCTAGCTTCACTATTGTGTAGGTACAGGCCCATGTAACCAACCTGTGATGACTAAAATGAGGATCACACAGACTGTCACAGACTTTATGGCACACTCAGACCCCAGTGAGCAAGAGCAGATGGGTGGGGGCTCAGGAAGTGAAGGTGGTTTCTGCCTGGGCTCAGCCAGGGATGTGTGTGTCGGTTTGGTCCTGAACTCAGATGCACCTGCATATCAAGCTGCCCTTTTTGAATTAATCTCACCTCTGTTTCATTTAGCTACTAATTAGAAGCTGAGTCTGATTTAAAAGCAACTATGTATGCTCACAGAAGCCCCTGGTTTTGAAAGTCATCTGGAATTTAGATGACAGTCTTTCTTTGTTGTCCTTTTAACAATTTCATACACACACACACAAACACACACACACACACACACACACACACAGAAGTCCCTTAGTCCCTTTCTTATGAACAGTGTGCCCAAACTTTACCATCTGGGGCCTCCTCAAGGTCATCAAAAGGCCCACAATCCTGCTGGTGGATCAAGTCCCTCATGAGAACAGCAAAGCTGTAAACATCTCCCTTTGGGGTGCCTAACCAGGGCAGCTCAGGAAGGCGTAACAGCTCTGGGGCCGTCCAGTAGAGTTCTGTAAAACAACAGGATGTCATATGAGGGAGGAACATCTGCAAAGCAAAAAGCTGCCTCTAGCCCCTCTCAGGTTGGGGGACATACAGGAAGGCAGAGTATTCTAAGAGGTTGGCCCTATGGGTGTCTGACTGGGAGAGCACACAGGGTCCATGCGAGGGAAATAATCAGGGAGGATGTGAAGGTGAATAGCAGTTTACCTAGTACCATGGGATGACAGGTGGTTTCTATTTTCTTTTTCTATAGTGCCTACATTTAAAAATATAACGTACTGAAGTAACATTTACATACATAGAATTAACTATTTTAATTTTTCAATAATGTTGGTGTGTGCCATTACATATATGTGCAGGCATGCATGCACATGTGTGCATGAGCATGTGGAGGTCAAAGGTTAGCCTCAGATTTGTTTGCTTCCTCAGACACCATCTTCCTTTTTTTCCGGAGTCAGGATCTCTCACTGCTCCGGAACTCATCAAGTAGGCTAGGCTGGCTGGGCAGCAAGTCCCTAGGATCCACCTGTTTTCATTTCCCCAGCACTGGGATTACAAACTCACACCACCATACGTGGCTTTTTTCTAGTGATCAAACCCAGGGCCTCTTGCTTGCAAAGCAAGCATTTTACCGACTGACCTATCTCTATGACTCAATTATTTATTTCAATAACATTTATTTGGGAGAAGGGGGAATGCATGCCGTAATGCACATGTGGAGATCAGAGGGAAACTTGTAGGAATCAGTTCTTTCCTTCCAACATGTGGGATCTAGGGAATCTAACTCAGGTCATGAGACTTGGAGACAAGTGCCTTGACCCACTGAACCATCTTGCTATCTCCCAACTATTTTTAAAATGAACAATCTGGTGGCATTTAGCACTTTGGCAACGTTGTATACCATCTCACTCTAGTTCAAAATACTTTTATCACTCCAAAATGAAACATTTTGCTACCCTATTCCCCTCCCCTGACACCCTATCCAACACCAGCCTGTACTCTGTTTCTATAGATTTAAATATCCTGAGTAATTATTCACTCTTTTTTTCAGCAATGTCTATAAATTTATATCACTATAAATGTATTATAATTTTTTGAGACAAAATCTCCCTGTAGCCTCAGCTGGCCTGGAACTTGCTATGTAGACCAGGCTACCCTCAGTCTCACAGAGATCTGCCTGTTTCTGCCTCCTGAGTGCTGGGATTAAAGACTTATGCCAACACATCCAGCTCATTATAAATTTTAATGCCATATAATATCAGTTCTTGTCTTGCAATTCACTTCAGAATCATCTGGGAGCTTTGACAAATGAAGATGCCCACACCCCATTCTCAGATATTCTGATTCAGTTGATAAGGGTAAGGAGCAGTCATCCAAGACCCAACTTCTTAAACTGTGGGAAGAAATCCCATAGGGGGTCGTTTAACTCAATACGGAGGTCAAGAAAAATTTGGCACAGTAAAAGGCTGCTGACTGTGCAATGACTAAAACTGAATTCAAAATCAGATGTGTATCAAGTCTGAGGTATTTCTGGCAGCGTTTGCTGTGCTTCATCTCACAGCTTCACGGCAGCCCTGTCTCCGAACACACACCAGCAGCACTTTGCACTGTGCGCACACAGTCCCACCACACGACACCAAAGAACGCTGTCTGAGACCACATGAGTCACATTCAAGACTTTTGTACATTAGGAATTGCAGTTTTTAACTATATGTACAAAACCAGGTTTGGTTCCTAGCACCCACTTGGAGGCTAACAATCATCTGTAACTGCAGTTCCAGGGGCTCCAATGCCCTCTTTTGGCCTCCATGGGCACTGTATGCATGTGATATACTTACATACCTGCAGGAAAAACACTCATATATATGAAATTAAAATAAATAAAATATTTTAGAAACACAATTATAGAAGATAGACTTTTCATATTCTCCTACACTCATGTCTCAGCATGAAAGAATTAAATTAGTATATCTTTGGGTTGGATTAGATTAGAATATTTGATTTTAAAAATTGCTGTTTGAGTTGCTGATTTGAGTTTCATAAAAAATGTTAAATGAATTTTGCCTTGCAATTAGGACAGAATCTCCAACAATTTCTGAAATGGTCCTAAACCTTTGCTATTTTGTGCTTGTATTTATGTGAAACACCATTTTGATCTACTCTGAAAGATGTTAGAAATGTTATGTCTTGCAGTATCAAATATTCAGTAGAGATTTAATTCTTTATGTAAAAATAAGCACATCCATCTCATTAGTATGAAAATGAGTTTTAGTCTTTAATAAATGATAAAGTTTTATGTATGCTAAAAATTGTTTAAAATAAATTTCTTCATAATTTTTTCATCAGAAAATGTTTGATTTGTGTGCCAATTGTACATAACTATATACTTGGAGTCATAAAAAATTCTTTAAATTTTTTATTTATTTTTTATGTGTATGAGTGCATTGCCTTCATGTATGTAAATGCACTTGTGTCATGCAATGCCCACAGAGGCCAGAAGAGGGCATAAGATCCCCTTAGAACTGGAGTTAAGGACAGTTGTTAGCTGCCGTGTGGGTACTGGGAACTGAACCCCAATCTTCTGCAAAAGCAGCCAGTACTCTTAAACCTTCTAGTCACCTCTCCAGCCCCATAAAAAATTCTTGTGTGAAACAGAATTGTGAAAAAAAAAAAAAAAAAAAAACCTTAAGGAACTCTGATCTAGGAGACAGGAAACTCCTGGACTCTGCTGTATTTAAGGGGCCTAGCAGATCTTGTTATCTATACTGAAAACGTACGAAGACTGTGGGAAGAGGCATAAAAGACTAAAGAGAAAAACAATGGTGACTTCAGTGACTCAGCTAAACCAAGGTGAGAATCAGTCTCCTAACCCCGATCCACAGATGCCCATGATAGGCAGCATCTGCCAGCGAAGATGGACAACAAACGCTTTAACCACTAGTCCACAGTGAGCAGGTGGAGGATCTGCCAGCAGTTACCAGAGTGGTCAGTGGTCTTCTTATTGTGGATTCTGCATGCGCAGTCATGCTTGAGTTCCCACAGCCCAAATCCCGACAGCTTCACTTGCATGCGACCATCAACCAAGCAGTTAGAGGGTTTTAGGTTGCCATGAGACCCCACTGGGCTCCTGTGGAGGAACAGCATGCCCTGCAAGGGTGACAATGAGCACGTGAAACAGAGCCAGTGGGCACTTCAAGAAGAACAACAGTAGACGATGGACAGAAGTGCAGATACACCATCCCTGGCCTCATTTGAAAAGCCAGACTCTTTTCTACGAAGTCAGCCTGGGCAGAGATACCCCAAAATGAGAAAACTATGGTTCCTCATCGAGGAGCCAAGAAAGCAAGCATAGGTTAAAATTAGAATATCCTTATGGTCAAGGTCAGCTTCGAGTCCCAGCCTCCACCATCAGGCAAAAAGGTAAGTTATGTACCCTATAAGCATCATCATTTCTTCTGAAAACGGAAGTGATGGTAAGACCCATTTCACCGTGCGGTTGTGATTAAATGTAATAATACAAGAGACATAGGAGACAGTGCACGCTACACAGTAAATCTCCGGTAGAAATGATAATAAAAATTTCAGAACTATGATGATCTGAGGATGTAGCTCAGTTGATAGATTGCTTGCCTAGCAGGCAGGAAGCCCTGGGTTCAATCTCCAGACCATATAAATTGAATGTGGTAGTAATCTCAGCAGTTGGGAAGTGAAGGCAGGTTGATCAGATGTTCAAGACCATTCTTGACCACATAGCAAGCTCAAAGCTAGCTTGGAAAGCATGAGAGCCTGTCTCAAAAAAACTTGGATACATATGACAAATATAAATAAAGTGATAGAAATACACATTAATACAACAAAAAATATTCATTAGAATACTATTAATATTCCTAATTGCATACTGTTGTTTCTAAATTATGAATATATATATGTATTAGAGTACAGAAATTTGGTGTGGAGTTGGAAAGGGGAGATGCAAATATAGGAGGGGCTCTAAATATGATCAAAATATATTGTATGAAATGTATAAAAATAAATTAATTAAAAAAGAATACCATTATTTACATATTGTAAACTATATAGTATTACATGCACTGAGGGGTACTATTTGAGCACTTTGTATAATAAAGCAATAAAATGAGAAACACTGGAAAACTATTCTATCACCCACTGTGATTTTCAAGGTTATATGTTATTATAGCTATATATGAAGAAGACAAGAACACCGAGTCAGAAGACACATGGTCACATCTGGACTTTGTCACTCAGTCTCTTCAAGCAAGTCACCTCACCTCCCAAGCTTTGATTTCCCTCCTGTGTGATGAGACTACTCTAGGTGTCTGTTATTCACCAGACAGCCTGGGAGCTTGGTAGAAATGCAGGTTCCCAGGTCTCATTCCACACAGACCAAATCTGACCATGCATATTAGCAAGAGTCCCAGGGATTCATGTGCACAAGACAGTCTGAAATGTCCTGTCCTCAGTGTTCGCAAACTTGAATGCACATTATAATCTCCTGGGGAGCTTAAAACAAAACAAATAACACACAATGAGTGGGCCTCAAGTCCAAGAGCCTATGTTAGTTGGATAGTTCACATGATTCTTGAGTACTTAGGACCCAGAAGCCAGAGGGTACTCAAAATAGGGAGAGAGTGCTTAGTGTAGAAGATACTTGCTACATCAAGGCAGGGAAAATCCCCTTTCGGCCAGGGATAGGGGCTTTTCCATAGGCAGAGAGGGGCTTAAAGGAGTATCTGGGGTTGAGAAGGAGAATATTTTAAGAAGTTGTAACTTTTGAATAAAAAAGCTATTATAGTTGAGGCATGGTTAGAGAAATAGATCTTTTTCCAGGTCAAACCTGGAGTGATGAAATAGTCAAATACTTTTCAAAGGCAGCATAATAATGCAAGGGGGAAGGGACACAGTTGTTTTAATTTCTCTTCTTTACCTTATCATCCTTAATTGTTTCACTGCAGAGGCATTGGAATAATATTTATTTAGCATTTCCGGTTTGGGGGGCTTTTAGGTACTGCTGTAAAAACTCTGTGTATCTTTAGCCAGAATCTCCGAATTGCTCATTTTGGGGATATTGACAGGAACTGATAGAAAAGCAACAACCTCAGTATGTCCACGTACAAGGTTAGCACGGAGCATGTGAACCTGTCGCAGCCTGGGTATATTGGACCCTCCCACCTGCCTCATGAAACAAAGTGAGAATGACAAACTGCAGGCTCCTCTCAAGGGTCCTATTGGATTCTGTCTTTCTTTATAGCATTATCCTCCTGCCAGGTGTCAATCTAAATCTCTTACTTAAACTATCCTCACAGTGACCCAGAGAAGGTGGTTTAACCACCAGTCTCATCCTACAGGTGAATAAAGGAAGGAAGAAAAATGGCCATGGCCAAGTCACCCAGCGGGCAGTGATGGAGCTGGGCTGGGAACCCTGAAATCAGATTGTAATCATGCCCTTGACCAACTCTAGCTGGCTTTTGCTGAGGAAAGAAAGCAGTGCCTGACACACTGAGAATGACTGAGTGTTCTACGTTAGCTACAGGCTTCACTGGAAATTCTCACCGTGGTATAGATTTGTGACAAATAAATAGCAGTAAGCATCTCTGAGCATTTCATACTGTGCACTTTACATACATTATCACATTCAGCCTCTTCTAAGTCAGGTTACTATGCTCATTCTTTGCTTCACAATAAGAAGCAGGACTGCAAAGTGTCACAAGAAGTCAGGGACAGAGCTGGGGATAACCCCAGGCTTCCTAGCCTTCAAAACCTAATCACTTCTAAACCACTAAGCTTTGTTTCCTGTGCCTTGGGAAGTTGTCAAGGAGAGTTAGGGGAGGGGAAGAAGGCCCATAGCACTCCTCTACGACCATTGCAGGAGAGCAGATTGGATCCAATTAGGCTCAGAGCCAGCTGGGAAGAGGGAGGGTCTGACTACAGGAGGCATTGGATGGCACAGCAACAAGAAACTGAAGGGGACACTCCTGAAGTACTGTTATAGTACCCAGGGGATGGGTCCATTGAAATTTGGGCCTTTCAGATATCAGCTCAAATAGTGATGAAAGGTTGAGCATCCCTCTTGCTTTAGCCAGAGCCCTGAGGCCAATACTGCATTAGAAATGTGGACATTAAAAAAACGCCTAGAAGAGTGGCTACATCACACACTCCACCCCCAGATCAGAAGACCAGACCATGTTGTGTTGCTTCATCCCTGTGATGTGTTTGTTGTTGAGATGATAAAATTGAACCACATTTCACACCAGCAGTCTAAAGTCCAAGTGTGCAATCTGGTGAGACCTCTGTCCAATCTGCAGTTCTCCCTGACCTTACAGGCACCTAACTGTGTGTCACCTCATGGCCACACACAAGGTCTTCCTCTTGCCCTCGCTAGACTCACCCCAGGCAGGAGACGTGTTACACTCTCGGATATAAGTGGAGCCCACTGCATGTGAGCAAACCAAGGTGCTTAGGGATGCTTTGGATCCTAGGAATGCAGTCCTCTCCAGAGATGACACGTATGCTTTTGCTTTTATTTTCTATTTTAATGAACCAATATGATTACATGCTATTGCTAGAGAACAAACAAAACCATGAGTATGCTTGTGAGTCATAGGTCAGATGTCATGGGCTTAGGCAGTTCTATCACCTGACTGCCACTTGTATTTCTTGCTCTACTAGAAATGTCTGGAAGGCCCTCCAGGGCTCCAACTTCTGGCTCCCTTGTGTTCTCCGGTGCTTAGCAGAAAGCATGGACAAAATAAAAGCCTTTAAAGACAGACTAGCCACAAACCCCAATCTGCCACTTGCCAGTAGGGCAGGTGACCTCACCCAACTAGGTCTCATTTATTCCATCTTGAAAAGGGAGTGAATCTTAATACTACTGACATTTGAGCTAAAAGTGAATTGATAATACCTAATTGTTAGTTATTAAGATCACTGTCCAATAAAAACTTAATGCATGTCACATGTGTATTTTTAACTTTTCAGCAGCCACGTTAAGAAAAAGCTAAATAAGTGAAGATAATTTTAATAATATAGTGAATTTGACGTATTTTAAAATCTTACTTTATGTTGGTTATATTTTAAAATAAGATTTTAAAATACAATTTTAAAATATAACCAACTAAAAAATGTCTGTGGGTTTTTTTTTTACTAAGCCTTCAAACTACATATGAATTTCTTTCATACTTATAATAAATCTCAATATGGACTAACTATATTTCCGGTGTTCATTAGCACCTGAAGCTGGTGGCTACCATATTTGGACAGTGCAGATTTATTCCAGTAAGTCTTGAGAGATTTCAATAAGAAAATGTAGAGCAATTGAGAGATTTCAATAAGAAAATGTACTTCTCCCTAGGACCTACTTCCAGGTAGTTGGCTTGGTCCCTTATAATGGTAAAAGTGTCCCAAGGTAGTTGGCTTGGTCCCTTATAATGGTAAAAGTGTCCCAACAAACTTTGAAAGCATAGTCAGACATTAGCCCAGCTTAAGGAAAGCAGCCTCAAGTTGCTGGTCCAAACTGACTGTCTGTGGTGCACTGTATATCTTATCTTCTCAACTGCACTCCTGCCCTTTCCATACTTCTCCACCACCTGCATGCCTACAATGAGTCAACTAGGGCTTTGGACCCAGTTACTCACTCTCTGTACACCCCCTGCCTTCATGGAAGAAATGGGCCTCTCTCGACTCCCCTCCAAATGGTCCCTGCCAGGCCCTGATGGGCATCTAAATGTGAGACAGGCTCCTCCCTGTTACAAAGCCCAAAAGCAATCTCTAGTTCTTCCTGCTCTGTGACCAGGTATAGGAGTTGAGGGCCTAAGATTCAGAAACACCTGGATTAGAATTCAATTGCAACAATTCAATAATGAGGAGACTTTGGGAAAGTTATATAAACTTTCTATTATCTTATTATCCCACCTGCGAAGCAAGACTAACAACAGATGTTGTTAGAATTAAATTAATAAAATACAGGCAAATGCCCATCCCCTGATAACGTGTGTGTGCACATGCACACACTATTATTAGAGTGATTATTATTCTCCTCTTATCTGAAGCCATCATAGCCCTTTGTGACCCCAAATAAAGACTATGTCTGCTTTAACGCCTTCCTGTATTTAACGCCTTCCTGTATTTGCATTCTTACCTACCTCTTAGGTCAGCAGCTCTGTGGTACTAATCCCCACTTCCTGAGGAAGTAATCAAGGGCTAGAGAAAAGGAATGTATGTTAGGAATCCTTTCTAGCTCAACTCACAGCTCCAGTAACTGAATTCTCTCTGGAGTAAAAAGTTGTACCCTGCAGTATAAATCCTTTACCCTGTTCCTTCCTGATTGGGTAAGCCTAGTGTTCATTCCATCTTTGGGATAAAATGCTCTTCTCCCTCTCTATTTACATGTGATAAGAGAAAGAGAAAGGAATGGAATATCTGATAGACTTTTAAAGCTGGAATCACTTTGTCTAAAGAGATTTAAAGAAAGCCAAGGATTATAGTTCAATTTAATCCAAGATAAAGAACAACTCAAAAATGCAGTGACATGCATTCTTTGAATAAGTTTATGTGATACTCACATTGACTATGTCATATGCAAATGAGAGCTTGAATATCCGATCCATTTCATGGTCTGAGTTTTTCAAAACATCCTAGAAAACACAATTATTCAAAATATCACCAGGGACTCAGGCTGAAGCACAGCAAGTAAGCTTCATGCATTGAGCAGCGTTGACTTTCGAGTAGCTGATGTCTTTGGCCAGGATTAAAGTGTGGCAGAATGCAGAACATCTAAGTAAGTGGAAATTTTCCCTGATTCAGTGTTGAAAAGGGACACATTCTTGAGTGCTCTTAATACTTCTTTTATCATAACATAAAACCAATGGTCACATACCAGGGAAGGGATGGGTCTCGGAACCAGATTCATGAACAGTGGTGACACTATAGAAGAACTCAAGCTTACTCAGTTCCCAGCAAGAATGAAGAAGAAACAGTTAGATACTGCCAACTTGGTCCCCAGCTGGTAGCCCAACAAGACAATTTAGATCTTGCACTGAGACCAAATAGGAACAGTGCTTGGATGAACAGGAGGAAGCATCAATAATATTCTTCCCTAGATGTCTAATGAAGTCCAAGGTAAGATTTAATCGTTGACTTACCTTAAGACTTCCTTTTTTGCAATACTGGGTGACAATGCAGATGTTAGGTGGTTCTGTGCAAATACCAAAGAAGGGGACGATGTTTTCGTGCTTTAATCCACACATCTGGAAATGATAATGATAACAACAGCACATGTATAGGGAGTGCCTTTGAGCAGAGACCATGCTCTGGTGCTTTCTATCCTTTTGGTTAATTCCAGGGGCCTTGTGAGAAAAGAACTACTCCCGTTTTGCAGGTAAAGGAACAGATGCCTGAAAGGCAAAGTGTCTTGTCAAAGGGTGTATGACTGACAGATGGCAGAGCTGGGAAGTAAACCCAGGGAGTGTGGCAAACAAACCAAAGGAATCAGCAACCTTAGCCATGGGCAGTAACTAAACCACATCATCACAAGTAGATCCAGCACTGTTTTTCTGTGCTTTTGGCTATTGATGGCAGTTTTTAACCCACAGTGGGCCATTTGTACAGAGCAAGAAGTCAGACCCTCTCCAAGATCGAGGCTTAAGGGAAGTAGACAGATATCACAGATAGAGAGGATGAAGAATAAAGGCCAGGAAGAGTTAAGCAGGGAAGGTAGAGGTAAGAGAGAGACAGGCTTCATGCGAAGAGTCTGAGGTCGAAGCCTAGGCTGTAGCAGCGAAGTGATAGCAAGCTGAGCTGGGAAACAGCCTCCCACCCCTGTATCTTTGGGATGGAGGCCCCATCTCACAGTGGGAGCAGAGAGTGGGCAGATGTGGGATAGACTGAGGCCTTACCAGCTGGACTTCCTGCAACACAGCTGGCTTCCTAACCCAGGCTTCGGCTTGGTCACCAATATAGCGGATGGCCTCGTGATTTCCCTGAAATCAGAGACAAAGTGAAATATTCTTAATTCAGGATGGTCTGGAAACATCTTCAGTCAGAAACAGTGAGGAAGGGGATGGAAAGACTAAAAAGAAAGCCACATTTGGGAGAAAGCAGCCAGCTTCTCACTGACCAAACAACCCCTTTGGTGGCACTGTGCTAAGCTCCGGCACTCCAGCTGTTCAGCAGTAAGACCTCATTTAACTAGCATCACAAACGAGGTGCAATTAGCCCAGTTCTGGATACACTAAGGTTGGATAACTTGTTCTGGGCAGCACATTTATAGTACAGCCAGAATTTGAACATCTCACTTGAAGATCACACTCTCTCTACTGTGTAATAATGTTTCCTTATCATTCAGGAAAATAGTGAGTTTGGATCATAAGTCTAGACACCTAATTCAAGGTCGGATACCCGGTTCAAGGCCATTGGTGCCTCTGGACTTAACATCTCTGAATGTCCTTTTTTTTTTTAAAAAAAAAAATTTTTTTTAAATGATTTATTTAATAACAACATACTTAGAAGAAGCATATGGTTCAAGGCCATTGGTGCCTCTGGACTTAACATCTCTGAACATCCATTTTTTTACCTGCAAAATGGTGGAGGTGGGATACCACCATTGAAACTCAACACCTGGCTTAAGCTTTTGGTAGACGGCATATCTTACTTTGTTACCTATTGAGTCTGCTTTTACAATCACTCCATCTGCCACTGCAAAAACAGAAATAATGAGGTCAGAGCTGAGAAGAAGATATAATCCACATGAAGAGAAGACAAGGCTCAGATGACTGTGGCATCAACCCCAGACCTCCTACTTTCAGCATGGAAGAAACTGTGAAGGATTTGGAATGGGGTTTCCATGGAGGAACAGATGCCGGCAGGATTGAGGAAAGGATTCTTGGAAAAAGGGATGCTGAGCCCTGAAGGATAAGATAACCCTTTCACTCTGCTGAAAGGGTTCAAGCAGAGTGGCCAGAAGATGAAACACATCCCAGAGCAATGGTCAGTGCTTCCTTGCTTTGCCCTTTCTGCCTTCACTTTCCAGGACTCCCATTTAAAGAACAAATACATGGGGATTGCTTTCTCTATTTAACTTTCCCCTAAGAGACCTGAATTTCTAACAGATTACTGAGCACAGGCTACTACAGAGTCTGGGGTGTGCAGAAGAGGGCGAGAAAGGACAGGTGGCAGAGATATCCGAGTTTCGGCAGCTGCCAGTGTTTACACTGCAGAAGTAGCCCTACCCGCAATAGAGTCATTAAAGTGCCAGGGATGAGGCAATCCACACTCTAGGACTGTGATACCCATTATAGCTGCCATTAACCACGTGGGGCATTTAAATTATATGTGTGCACATGTTCCTCTGTGTGTGTGTGTGTGTGTGTGCATGAAGAGGACAGAGGTAATTTGGGGTATCTTCACTAATTGCCCTCCACCTTAATTTTTAAGACAGGTGTCTTACTAACCTTGCAGCTCATTAATTTGGCTCACCTGGCTGGCCAGTGAGCCCCAGGGATCTGTCTCTACCTCTCCAGCACTGGGATTACAGGCACCTGCTGCCATCCCGAGTTTGTTTGTTTTACTTGGATGCTGAGGATTGGAACTCAGGGCCTCATGTTTGCACAGCAAGTACTTACCTGAGTCATCTCTGCAGGGCCCTAACTATTTAAATTTAAATTTAAATTAATTAAATTTAACGTTCAGTTTCCCAGGAACACTAATGACCTGAATAGTCACTGAGGCTAGTGCATAGTGATTAACATTGTTTGGGAATATTGTCATCATCACAGAAAGTTCTACTAGAAAGTTCTAAGTCTGATTAAGGAGCCAACATAGGAATCGCCCTGAAGCTCATTGGAAATACAGAGTCTCAGGCTCCACTCCAGACCTACTGAGACAGAATCTTCATTTTTAAAACATTTCTCTTAAGATTTCACGTGATATTAAATATCTGTACATACTTTCTTGGCTCTTTTATAGTGTTTCAGTTCTCAAAATTAGAAAAGCATCAGTCTAGAGACACATGGATTTTCCTTGTGTTTAGAATGCCCTGCCTGACTGAATTTACGTGGAGCATGGGACAGAGATCGACATTAACATCTGCATGTAGCCATTTGGGCACAGGAATACCTGGTAAAGCCCTACGGGGGCATAAAAAGGCTCTTCACCCTGCTGACTCTTGACTAAGGAGCTGCAATCTGCAGAAATTGGTCCAGTTGACATGTTGCCTCTTGACGTAGGTGTGCCTTGCTGGGATGGCTGTAAAACAAGACACAATTCACTTGCACTCAGTAGCGTTACCGAGTACAAATGGTTCTTGGTGTATGTTATAGATAAGGAAGACTAATTACAAGGTCACATGTCAATACTTGAGAAAGTCAGGCCTTGAACCCTGATCTTCCTGATCCAAAGTGTGTTTACCTGCTACTTGCCACATGCTTGGCCTCTACACCACCATGGATGGTCCAGGCTCTGAGGTCAGACTGCCTAAATCCAAGTTCTGGCTGTGATGCTTAACTAGAGGTGGGGACAGAGTCTTTGCCCCTTTAACCCAAATTGAATTTGGGTTACCTCTATATTTACTATCCCTAGCACCTCCCAACACCTAGAAAACATCTTCAGAGCACAGGAGCCTTATTTCTCAATGTGAAATTTAATGGACCCCTTAATGTACAAACCAGGCAAATCAGAACACAGCTCTATGAGGGAAAGGGGAAAAGGAGGCTCAAATCCCTGGGGACATTTGGCAGTGAGTGACTAATGAAGCCAATTAGGACACTGAACCCTCCCAGGCATGATACCAACCATGCTTCCCAACCTTCAGCACTCCACACCATGTCCTGACATGTTCTGTGTGACTTTTGTCACTGCTAGCAATTCACTCTTGCTAATGTTGCCTCTTCTTAGAAGCCTTCTAGGTGCTGAGAACATTTGTTTCTCTATTGCAGGGCATCATCTCACCATGGAGACACCTCACTGAGTACTTGCCTTCCTCTGGGATGTTCCCAAGCATTGCATTGTGCCTGGGATACAGTAGATCCGTCCTTAAGTGTTTGCTATGGAAATGAACCATTTTGTGCTATCAATAGTTAAAGGAGTTAATATGGTTTTGAACATAATCAAAGGCTCCCTGGGAATGGCTTAATATTTGAACAATCCACAGTAGAGTTGAAGGGAGTTTAGAGACTATCAATCATTTCTAGTTAATAACTGAGGCTCGGAGCAGTGAAATGGTAGTTTCAGAGGAATTTATCCAGTACGTAGGAGGCACAGAACTCAAACTGGGGTATTGAGGCACTTTGTTGAATTCTTACTTTATCACTGAGTCAGCACTCTCAAAAACTAGGCAACATCCTTTCCACAAGTTGCCAGGGAAGTGGACACTTGGGTCATATGTGGCCTTACCTTGTTTGGGGGCAGAATGGTGATACTGTCATAACTGATCTGCCACCAGGTGTCTTTGTTATGGCGTTGCAATTTTCCTCTCTGCACCTTTAAAACCAGACCTATGATGGCAGCTCCCAAGACAAGAATCAGGAGCATCATCATAAGAACCACAGCAGCCAAACCTGGAAGTAGAGACAGTCATTACTCAGGCCTGCCTATAACTGCCTACAAGCAGAAGAGAGCATAACCTTGGCCCAGCCTGGCCCTGCCAATCAGATGTCTCAAACGCTGCCCAGGTGTGGTCCAGGTTAGGACACACTGAGGACATTCAGACCTGTCCCTTCTGGGATCCTTCTCTTGCTAGCACCCCATCACCCCCTGCCCCAAGCTTCTATGGCAGCTGCATTCACCCCTTCCATATAGAAACTTCCATGGTAGGAAAAGAGCAATGACTTCTAACAACACTTCTACTTTAGCTGAACACTTACTTTGCACTCTCTGTAGTACTGTTCTCCAGGCATGATCCATCTAAACCCAGGTCCAGGCTGGGCCAAACTCCCTTGCCCAGACTATTTCTGCTCTCCTAGAAGTTACTAAATCTCAAATCTCAGGAACCAGGCTAATGGTTTTCAATAGGAAAGGTGGGCAATGGTGCCCCCTAGGGGATATTTGCAATGTCTGGAAACACTCTTTACTGCTACAACTAGATGCTACTGGCATCAACAGAGTAGCAGCAGCTAAGGATGTCACACAACATCCGGCAAAGCACAGGATAGCCCCACACACAAAGGTTTTCTTGCTCAGACTATACTGCTGCTGAGAAACCGGTCCCTGATACCTCCTCCAAGCAGTCACGTTTACCTGATACAGGAGGAGGCTCAGTTTTACAGAGCTCATTAGGAAATCCACAACCAGGTCTGTCTTCAGGAAGGGAGCCATGGGGCCAAGCAATACTGGAGACATTCCTCAGAGGTCTTTAAAAGCAGAAGAGATAAAGGTCAGTGTTCAGTCCATTTATTCGACTTGTCGCTGCTTCTTGTACAAGGGCAACAGAAACATATTATTTTAAAAAAAAAAAAAAGAATCAGAGGCTGGGGAGATGGCCCAGTGGGTAAAGGCACTTGCCATGAAGCCTGATGACCTGAATTGAATCCCCAGAATCCACATGATAGAAAGAGAGACCTAACTCCCTGAAGTTGTTCTCTGACATACATATGCACACCATGGCATGTGCATGCCCACACACACACACACATAATAAATAAGTAAAATGTTAACAAAATAAAACAACAAGGCCTTAGTCTCTTAATTCGACCCTCTGGTGACCTGTTCGGTGTTTCTCCCTCTCTTAGGCTCTTCAAACCCAGCTTCCAGTAATTTAATTCATGAAAGATAACATCTCATTGTTAGGTGGAAGAGTTTCTAGAGTCATAATTTACATGTTTCTTTTGATTTAAAAGGATCATTTGGAAATTTTGCAATGTTGCTGCAGTTTTCACCCATATTTGATACAATTTTTTGTTGACAAGGTCTCTGGTAGCCCCAGGGATGCTAGGCCTCCTATAGCTGGGTCTCCCTGTAGCTGACCTGGAACTTGCTATGTAGACCAGGCTGGCCTCAGTCTCACAGAGATCTGCCTGCCTCTGCCTCCTGAGAGCTGGGATTAAAAGCGCGTGCCACCACACCTGACTTGATATACACAGATCTTATAGCATAGCAAATACCTTGATATCTTACAAACACATTGTCCCTGCATGGAATACACCCTTTCCTGTGGTGCTGAGGACCTGGTTTATTACAGAAACTTTGTTTCCTGTGCTGGCCTACTTGGTAACATTAATTTTCCTAAAGAACAAGGAGGGGGATCTGGATTGAAGTTGGAAGATGTGGGGGCAGGTAAAACTTGAATTGTGTTTGGTTGTCTTTTGTATTATCATTGATTTGCAGCTGAGAAAACAAAACTAGATATTTTCACAGGGAAACCTGGGTATTGGGAGCCCAGGACAGCACAGGGTTCTGATGTCTGTACGTGTCTCTGGAAGTCGATCTTTATCTGTGAGCAGTTTTGCTGAATGTGGACGCAGGCCTGTAGGGGGCGCTGTGCTCCACCACTTCTGGGCTCGGGGCTTTTCCTGAACACCATTGGCCAATGGGGATCCTGTGGGGCACAGAAGAGGCCAAGCCCTTCTAGGGGTTCAGTTAGGGGGTGCTGTGTCCTTGTGTTCTCTCCTGGGATCCTGAAAATGAGCCACACCCACTCATAATATGAGACAAAACTACCTTAAAGTCTCAAAGTTCCTCTTTGAGGGTTCAGAAAGCACTACCAGGCGAGTCCAGTGCTTGGTATTGCAATATAATGGTGTCATCTACAAAGGTGATACTTGAGAACTGCATGATTGAGTTGTGTGTGTGTGTGTGTGTGTGTGTGTGTGTGTGTGTGTGTGTGTTGTAAAAGGCACCCTTATGCTTTAAGTGTGCTTATGATTTTGTGTTGGGTTGCACTCATAGCTATCCTGGGGTGCATGCAGCTCACAGGCAACAAGTTGGATGTGCCTAGGTGACCAGACTATTTAGTGGAATATTCTGGAATTAGATCCCACCCCTCCTGGTCCCCTCTCCCTGCCCAGGCTCTTAAAGCATGAAATTAACTTGCAGAAGTAGCTGGTAATACCTGATTATTTTCTTAAAACTGTGGTAATGAAGAAAAGGAAGAAAGAGGGACCGGTTTCCAGATTTCTGTAGGGTATAGACTGAGTAATCCATGTGCCTTTCACCCTGGGAGTCCAGAAACACAGGGCCAGTGATTCCTGGGAAGAGATTGCACCAGGTAAGGAGGAGAGAGCAGCAACTGTGGCTGGAAATGGCAGCCCACCCAACCTCCTCCAGTTCCCGCCATCCTGGCTACTTCCCTCTAAGTATCCCCGGGCACAGGTTTTCAAGGTTTGTTCTCAGGCTAAGTTCTTCCTTCTAACTTTGGTGTGTACTGAAGTTTTGGGCAGGCACTCAGTTCCAGCCAGTCCATTCTCTGCCCATGCTCAGGATGTGCTAAACTCTATTCACCAAGAAAACTTCAAAAGAGGAAACAACTCTTCCACACTTCAAACCAGAATCCATGTTCTAGTTTGCTCATTTGGCCCCATTGTGGACAGGACACAATATTGCCATTTGTGAAATGCATATTATGTGTCCAGCTCTGTGATCTTAGTGACTTATCATATATCTAGTCCCAGCAAAGGAGGCACCTGCTCCTAACAAATGTAGCTTGGAGACACAGGAGCCCCAAATCTGCTCTTCCAGAGCCAGGGGAAACAGAGTTGGAACATAGACTACTGGGCCTTGTGCCCCTTTCTTCCCAGGATATCACACTGTGTTCCTAGTCACATGTGGACTAGAGGGAGATCTCATCTTCTTGGGTTTTGTCTTGATATATGTACCCAGAAGCAGCTGTGGGAAAGACTGTCCAGAAGAAAGAATACAAGATGCCCAAAGGCCTCCGCCCCCAGTCTGGGCAGCCTCTGAGCAGCTGAGAAGCTTTAACCTCACCCATGCTATGGAAGACTGGAATCTCCATGAAATCGTCAATATTCTGTAGCAGGGTGAGGCAGGTCCTGAAGGAGGTCTGGACATGCAAGCCCAGCATCTCCAACCCTGCAGGGATGCAGCCAGCAGGTCTGAGCTTGGAAACCACCTTACCCTGCAGTCTAGTCTGATTGGTTCTCAGGGTGCTAACCAGCTGCCGTCCATCCCTGAAGTCTTTCCTGGCCTTTATCATCTCCTCCACAGTCTGGGCATAGAGCAGGAGGGCATCATGGAGATATGCAGAGTAAGGGCTCACCTTCAGCAACAGAAGAAAACACAATGTGTGTACTCCCAACTTCCATCACCCAGTCAGCAGAAATCTCTATCTTCTGAGCACAGAACCAGCCCAACCCAGAGGAGAGGTATAGCCACCTCATGCCTGTGCCTATCATATCAAGCCTAACACGCCCCAGGTTTCCAGTTAGAGCACATGATCACTAAAATCAAGAACAATTCTGGAGCCATCTAGAAAGAGGCCATCTTTGGGAGGGGGTATGGCTCAGGAGAAAAATTCAGAAGCCAGGATGCCCTGATATTTTCTGACTGTAAGAGTCAAGGCAAGTTCTGTAACCTCTGAATCTCAGGTCACTCATTTATAACATGGGGATAAATCTACTCATTAGGTAAGCATTAGGTAATTCCATGAGGCAGAATAGGTAAATACCTATTACAGGACCATAGTAGGTCCTGTAGGATCATGTGGTCCATAGTAGATCTTCAGTACCAGCTGGTTCAATCAATGCAGTATAAGTGCCTACTCAGTGCCAGGTGCCTTCCCTTATAGAGACCAGCTGAAACAAGTCTCTACATGTATCCATCCTCTCAGTCTGAGTTAGAATTCACAATCAGTCCCCTCATTCCTAATCAAGCCCCTATCATCAGTGGTGGCTAGTTGTCACTTTAGAGCTCTGCTCTCCTGTCAATATTATCTATAAAAAGTTCTCCATTTTGTTCCTCGTCTGCACACGCTCAGATTCCCACTGGCTAAAACGCACTCTCCTGATTGCCCTGACCAAGCCCCTCTGCCTGCCCTAATTCTGCCAACTCCACATCTCTGACTTCTCTATCCTGGCTCTCAGTCCTACCAATCCCCCTGGTGGTCAGAGTACCCATTGGCATCTGCTCTGCTATTCAACAGTGTATTATCAGACATGCAGGCCACAGCCTAGAAGGTGCTATTAATAGCTGCATTTCATGTATGAAGAAACCCAGCTGTAAAATTGGGCAATTTATTCCAAGACTCCACAGTTAGTAAATAGCAGATATGCTGGAAGCCCAGGCTGCTGATCCCCAAGGCCAGTGGCTTTTCAGCCTATAACCTTTGACCCCTCTGTGGTCATCAGGCTAGATTTCCCAAGAATATCAATCCATTCCTTATTTGGGGCTGCTGAAAAAAATTGAGAGAGAGAGAGAGAGAGAGAGAGAGAGAGAGAGAGAGATTGTGGAAGAAGTAGAGGAAATGGGAAATAAGAAAGAGAAATGCAAAATCTGTTCAGAAACCATCAGACCTGCTCCTCTGAGGAGATCTTGCTGTGGAAGGGTGGCCCCCTCAGCCTTTGGTAGACTTGCTTCCAGAAGCCATCCTCTCCAGTGCCTTCTCCATAGTAGCTGAGGGCAATGAGAAAAACTGACTCATAGACTTTTGGGAAGCATGCTCCCCTTTGATGTGTCAATATCTCCTTCCAAAAAGTGTCCTAAAAAGTAACGAAATTAATGTCACCATTCTGTAGGAAATGACCTATGCAGTTTAATAGCACTCAAGAGAGTGTTGAGCTTTAAGTAGGGGTATGCTAATGAATTCTTAGAAATACAATAATTCCAGAAGGCCTACGATGCCAGGCCCATGTTTTCCAGGTAACACGTGAGCAGTGGGAAGGAAAGCAAAGAATAAATTAAAAAATAAGAACTTCCCAGGGCATCCAGAGCTAAGATGCAGAAAAATTATCCAGCAGCAAAGACTGGCAAGCTGAAGACACTGACGATTGTCTGCTCTCCACTCTGCTGTGCCTCAGTGTTTTATCATCACCCTTATTACCCATATTATTACTACTCTAAAGAGTGCGTTCCCACCAAGTGTACATCTCCCAAATTCCCTGTTTCTCCTTCCTGTCCCACTGAGAGACATCCAGATAGTATAAGCATATATAGAGGGGGTGTGTGTGTTCAGATAAGGTATATGTGTTGTATTTAACTGTTGTGACACTATACCACTATTTTGAAGTCTGATTTTTTTCATCGCAAACCTATACCAAGAATAGTTTTATAAAATAAAAGAATATGCATTCTTTTCTAAAGCAGGATGGATTCAATGATTGGGCACTGTATAGTATATTTTTAGTTCTATATTCTTTCTGTACTACAAGCCAATTGGAACTGACCCTCAAGGTTTTAGAAAGAAGCAACAGAAGAGTTGGAAGGGATTCTCTGCAGACCGCAAGGCCTGGCCCTCTCTCTGCTCTCATCATCTCCCTGCAGACTGAGATGAGGGGACAGTAAAGAAAACGGTAGTGACGATCAAAAATGAAGGTAGGAAGGTGCTCTGGGAAGTTGGGGAAAGGTGGAACCGCAGCTGCTACCCAAAGAAATCAGAGATACTTTTTGGCTGTTCAAAGTACTTCCTGACCGAGAGAGAGAGAGAGAGAGAGAGAGAGAGAGAGAGAGAGAGAGAGAAAAATTCCTTATAATGATTTTTTTTTAAAAAAAGCTCATTTTAGAAAGCTAAACCCACCAGAAAGATACAAAGATGGGCACAGGGTGAAAGGCAAATAGTCCTTTTAGATACCTCCAGTATAATAGGTACAGACACTGAGGCCAGCCCTGGCCTCTCATATTAGCTGTATAGCCTTGGCTAAATTATTTCACCTCTCTGGGTCTCAGTTGCTTCTTACATAAAAGATACTAAAAATAGTACTTTTCCCATAGGGTAGTTGTGAGCTGAAATGAATTTTAAGGTATCAAGCATTCGTGGTGGGGCCTGGCATTTCATATGTACTCCATGAGGGCAGGGCTGTGGGGTGTGAAGAGCAAACAATGAGTCTGGAATGCCAGCTAGGCAAGCTGGGAGTGCAGACATCTTAGGTGAAGTACTTCACTTACCTAAGTCTTGGTTTTAGAAGTTGGATAACTAATCTTATCTATCTTCCTAGGCTATTGGAATACTTGCCTTGTAGAGCTACTGGGAATACCAAGTGTGGCAGTGTGTGCAAAATGTGTAACTGAGTATACTTGTGGACAGTATGTGGCACCTCAGCCATTTCCATCACTGTCAAAGAACCAAACCACCTAAGAATTGGCTCCCTGGGCCAGTGTGTTGGTCTCTCCAGGCCTTTCTCCCTGGGCCAGTGTGTTGGTCTCTCCAGGCCTTTCTCCCTGGGCCAGTGTGTTGGTCTCTCCAGGCCTTTGTCAGGTTTCAACAAGGCCACAGGAAGATGGCTATGGAAGAGACAGAGCGAGAGTCACTTGCATTTGAGAGTCTTTCAAAAAGGCCTCAGATACTGGGCAGAAATGATAGTTCTTTAGCTGTTATCTGCTCATCTGGAAGGTTGAGGCTAGACTGGGATCAGCTAATCTCATTTAAGTCCTGGCCTACACCTCACCAACCATCCTGAGGAAACGTGAGCAAGTGCTTTCAGCTTAGTCCTGGTCTGTGTGTGTGTGTGTGTGTGTGTGTGTGTGTGTCTTCATGTGAGTGCACTTGTATATGCACATGTGTGCATGTACCTATGGAGACCAGAGGTTAACCTTGAAGGTTATTTTTCAGGTACCACCCACCTTTTCTTCTTTTTTTAAGACAGGGTCTCTCATTGGCTCACCAAATAGGCTAGAATGGCTGGCTAGCAAACCCTAGGGGGTCAGTCTCTACCTCCCCAGCACTGGGATTAGAACCATGCACCATGTACTTTTAAAAAGTGGGTTCTGGGGCTCAAGCTTCACCCAAGAAGCACTTTATTGAGCCATCTCCCCAGCCCTCAGTCCTGGTTTTAAGGTGAACCTTCTAGAGTGCCCACCCCCTAGGGCTGTAGTGAGCACTTCCCACAAACATCCTGATATATAGCAAGTACTTGTTCCCATTCCCTCTTACTACAGAGCCACTGCTGGTGAGTAACACCTACCTCCAGCTGCTGCAAGAGAATGAAAACAAATTCCCCAGTGTTGAGCCCCAGGCTCTCTGCAGCCAGCAGAACAGTTTTTGCATCCTCTGAGTTGCAGATTAAGATGATAACTGTAAGAAGGGAAAACAGTCAGTTGTTCATGCTTGTGTGTGTATGTGATATACACCTGTACACATGCACACATATACATACACACATTCTTTTTTAAGTCTAACCTAAACCAACTCCAAACAAGACACAAACTTCATTTCCTTGGGCATACTTCAGGAAATAGGAATATCTAAACTACTATAGGCTAGTATATTTCTTAAAGTCTCTAACATACAAACTGCAGCCTTTGCCCTTCAGAAACTAGTCTTTGATATAGTCTTCAACCACCACGATATAAAGTCTAAAGTTTGAGATCATTCCTATACCTTAGTTTTGTTTGTTTAACTGACCCCCCAAATCAGAACAATCTAGCTCCTCAGCTACACAGCAGTTAGGAAGAGGTCAAACAGGACTTAAGAGTCATGGACACTCAGAGCTTCTGAGTTGGGGTGGGGAGAAGTAGCCATGATCCTTTTCTCCCATTCAATCGAATGATCACTCATTTTGAGGTCACACAAATGAAATCATAGTTTAGTTTTTAAATCAAGTACATTATAACCTGCTTTTATGAGTTTCAAGTATGTGCCAGGCACTGTGTTCCACATAGGAAACAGCTGCGGACAAGACAGAAAGACTCCTGTCCTCAGGGAGTATGTTAGTCATTGTTTTCATCACTCTGACACAGATGTTTGAGAGAACACTGAAGGGAGGGAATATTTACTTGGGCTCACACTTTCAGAGAGTTCAGTCTGTGGTTACTTGGCCCCATGTTCTTGGGCTCATGGTAAGGCAGAACATTAAGGCACATGGAAGAAGAGGCTGATCACTTCATGACAGACAGGAAGCAGAGTAAAGAGGGGACTTGGAACCAAGCATAACCTTCAAAAGCACACTCCCAGTAGCCTATTTTCTGAAGTTAGGCCCCATTTCCTAAAGATTTCAGGACCTTCTAAAATAGTGCCACCAAGTGGAAACACACAACTTGTGGAGGACATTTCTTGGCATCCCAGACAGTCAGTGCACAAAAGGAATGACTAAAGGGATCATTGAATACTTTCACCAGTGAGGGAGGAAAGGATGATCCCAGTGTGGGGAGGGAGTATTCAAGGAAGACTTCCCTGAGGAGGTAGACTCTGGGCTGAGTCTATAAGGGTAAGAGGAAGCTCCTGGGAGTGCTGGGTGAAGGGTGGCCATGGATGCCACTCTGGGAAAGGGATTTGGCAAATCCCAATGTCCCAAGGCCATGAAAAACAGTTCTTTTGAAGAACACAAAGGAATCAGTGACTATTCCAGGCCTTCAAAGCAGCAACCCAAAAGCAATTACTGTCATACGTTGGCCAACTACCTATCAAGGCACAGTACTAAGCTCTTTCCACATATGGCTGTACTTAGTCCCAGCCTTCCTAGGAGCGAGGTATAATGATTGTCCCTGTTTTATAAATATGGTGTCTAAAGCACAGAGAGGTTAAGTTTCTTGCCCAGGAGCATACAGTTAGAAAGCAGAGAAGCTAGAATTAAAGTATGTCTATGTACAGGGCTCATGCTTTGAACTAATAATTAATAAAGTCTAAGACCCAGGTTACCTGGAATTTACTGTTAGAACTTACTCTGCACAACATAACACTGTAACAACTGAGATTCCAAATCACAGAAATATATATTATGTATTATATAGTATATATCACTGTTATGTATAAAAAAGGAAATTGCTTTTATATATTATTAATTTTGTATCTTGTCTCCATCTGCTTTTCCTAATCATAGAAAAGTATAGAAGATGTCTTAGTTCTTTCTAAGCAACTGCCAAACTTAAGCAAAGGAAGACACTTGCCTACTTACCCCTGGCAATGGATGACATGCTTCTGAGGTCTCCCTGCAAAGTGACTGGACTTCTGTCGGTGTATCTCACACTGGCAGCAATGGTGAAATGGGACTGAAGTTCACGCTCAACAACTCTCCACAACTCATCCACCCCATCCCAGGAGGACACTCCAGAGTAGCATCCAAACAGCCCAATGTGCTCCCAGCCCAAGTACTGCAGAATTTTCTGAAGCACATCACCAATTTCCTGCTTGGGTGGTACAAGTGTCACATAGGTATCATATAAAAAGGAGTTGTCTAGTATTGCCACTTGTCCAACAAAGTCAAACATGGGGATGTTCCACTCAGAGGCCAGCAAACCAATAACCTTGAAAGTAAACAAAAGGGTGTCTTTCCATAATGGAGTTTATGCTACACTCAAACCTCAATGTAAAATATCTGCATAGACCTTAGATTCAGTGAATATGTGAGTCAGTCTGGAACTTTCCTTTGGAATGTCAATGACAATGTATTGGATACCATCTGAGATGCAAAACCTTAACAGACAAGGATAATAAATGCAAAAGTTTATTGAGAAATTACTATATGCTAAGCACTCTACTAGTATCTTACGTATTTTATTTTAACTTTCACGGTGTTTCTATGGGATAGGTATGCTATTTCTCCCATCTTAAAGTTGAAAATGTGGAGACACAGATATGTAAATTATGTAGCTGGCAAAGTGCAGCAGGATTAGAACTCAAGCAATATGGTTCAAGAACCCAGACTTAGGGAAAACTGTCCCTTCACTTTCTTCCTGAAATTTTCTCTGATTTGTTTTTTATGCACTTTTTTTGAGATCCTACATTTTGCAAAGAATTCTGGAGACTCTCATCTTAAAGATGTCTATGAACTATGACAGGACATGAGAGATATAAAAATAGCTCTAGAAAGAAAAAAAGCTCTTTAAGATTTATAGACATATATTTATGAGTTTAAAGAAGTAATGAACTGTTTTTTTACTTTGAAAATATTTAATTTAGGAGGAGTTATCAAATGCATATGGGTTTTTGATCTTATCTCAGTAAAAATTACAAAATAAAATTTATAAATTAACTTAAATAACAATAAAATACAATGCCTAGAGGGAAAAAAGCATATAGAATAGTACTTTCTAGTCTGTTATTTTGGGAGTGTGTCATTTCTTGACCTACTACAGAAAGGGAACAGAGTCACATATACATAGACACCCACCTGTATAAATTAGTGACTATTTATAGCTGAGGAATTGTGGATATATAGGGCGAGAGCAGAGGGGGAAAGATCACCTCTACAACACTTGGGATTGACTTTGAAGAATAAGTGGGCTTTGGACAGCCAGAAAGATGTCAAATGGGAAATTTTACAGTAGCAACTACTGAGAATTTGGTAGTATCTGGGGGACTGAGATTTGCAAGGTCCTTTCTTGTCCAGCCTTCCCATCAGCAATGAGAAAGCTAATCCCATTAACCACAAATATGAAGTATTCATTTCCCTCATTTGCTTGCTGCTACTTAAAGCAATCTGTCATACTTTATTTTTTCCAATTTACTGTCATCATCCTTGAATAATTCATCATACACAGCAAGGGAAAACCTTAAACAATTGATAGTGCTATATTTAAACCAAGCCCTTATTTCCATCTTAAGTTTTCCAAACCTGTGAATAGTAGAATTACACACACCACCACCAAGGTCAAATAGTCAGAAGGAAGAGGGTATGTGAACCGATGGGTTTTTATTTGAAATGGTTTCTTTTTTTAACATTTTATTATTTTTATTGTATGTGTATGAGTGTACTGGCTGCATGTATGTAAGTGCATCATGTATGCAACCTGCAGATGTCAGAAGAGGGTGTCAGATGTCCTGGAACTGGAAGTATAGTTGGTTGTTATGTGGGTGCTGGGAATTGAAGCCAGGTCCTCTGCAAGAGCAGCTAATGCTCTTAACTGCTGAACCATCTCTCCAGCCCTCTGAAATGGTTTCTTTAAGGAATATTAACTATTCTAATTATATGATCTCAAAAGAATGGTACCAAAGACCTAAATAGCAATTGTTATAGCAATATGATCCTTGTCAAAAAGTTGTCGAGGTGGTCTGGAGAGATGACTCAGCAGTTAAGAGCACTGGCTGCTCTTGCAGAAGACCCGGGCTCTAGTCTCAGCACCCACAAGGCAGCTAACAAGCATCTGTAACTCCACTTCCAGGGGATCTGACACCCTCTTCTGACCTCCGTGGGCACTGCATGACACGAGTGTACTTAAATACATGCAGGCAATATACTCATACACATAAAATAAAGATAATACATAATTTTTTTTAAATTAATGATGCTCAACATACAATATATACTTGTCTGAAAATATCCTTATATAATAAAGTATCATGTACAATGAATATACACAGTAAAGTTTTTTTAATTTAAAAATTAAATGAGACTAAGGAAATCAGTGTCTTCTTCTGTAAGACTGTTCCTTTCAACAGAAACTCAGCCAACATTTTTAGAAATTTATATATATATATGCTTACCTCTGCTGCTTCAGGGCATGCTGGTCCAAACAGAGCAGAAATTTGTTCTTTCTGGACCTGGTTGATGAAAATTGCAAGGGACTCCCTGGCACTGCATACTGAGTTGGTATACATGAACTCCCAGCTGAAATTCCCAAGTCCTGTTGGTTCTGAGTTAAGTTTTTCCACAGCCATCTGGAGACCTGCTCCTAGTCTTTGCACACTAAATGGATGAGTGATGTTCCAGGGGGCCTGGAATCCCACAGTGAGCTTAGCAGCTTCGAGCCAAGTCACCAGCACATTGGCAAAGAACATCAAAACCAGAGATAGGTGGCTGGCATGGCTGTCAGTCCCACAATAGAGCCCAGATTCTAGAGTCTCAGAGTGTGTCCTGGGAGCCATGGATGGCATCTAACACGGCATCATTATAATATTCTGACCATCTCAGCCTCCTGACCACCAGAATTTATATGGTAGTAGAGCATCCCTGGGGACCATAACTTGGTTTCTATTCATTGTCCCTAATTAACGAAAGCCATCCCTTTCTGAGCCTGTTCTGACACAATCCAGAAGCAGCAGTCTTGCAGAAAATAAGCAGAAGTGGAAAGTCATCAAGACCCTAGATATTGATACAATGATATCACTGACAACCTTCATGTTACTGGGCAAGGCACAAACAAGACCTTCTGTCCCTTTCCACCAGTGAAGTAAGCTAGTCAAATAGACTGCACTGGAATTCTGACTGCACTCTATGTTAGTTGTATGCCCTAGGACCTGATACTTACCCTCTCTGTGCTTTCATCTCCTGATCTACAAAATGGGGATAAATTCTGCAAGTCTTCTCCAAAGTGATACAGTGAGGACTGAAAAAGACACTGCAAATATAGTCCTTGGTACAAGCCCTATGCAAAGAGCCATTCTATCAATATTAGATTCAGGGGCTAGGGAAATGGCTCAGTCAGTAAAGTGCTTGCTGTACAGCATGAGGACCTGATCTTCCATCTCCAGACCCACTTATGAAACTGGACGTGGTGGTGTGTCTGTAATTCCAACACGGAAGAGACAGACACAAAAGGAACTCTGGAGTTTGCTGGCCAGCAGGTCTAGCTGAATCAGGGAGTTCCAGGTTCAGTGAGAGACCTTGTCTCAAAAAAAAAAAGGAACGAGCAATTGAGGAAGACACCTGATGTCAACCTCTGACCTCCACATGCGCATACGTGAACTCCCTACAAATACACAACACACACACAAAATTAGATTTGATCGTGATGATAATAGTTGATAGTGATGATGATTATCATATTAATAATGATGGTTATATGCCAAATCCATCTTACAGAAAATTATTAGAATAAGTAAATTGATAATTACCCAAAGATCTACTGCCAGCCAGGCATAGTTTATTTCCCTCACCTGGGCTTAGAAGACCATGGGTTTGTTAGTGCTAGGTAGATATTAAGCTTCTATCTACATATAACAGGTCAAGGATCTGCGTCTGGCACATCACAAGATGGGCAGCAGTCTTAGAAGACCACAGCTACCCCAACTAAGATGGCCCAGACATCGCTCAGGCAAATCTATGCTAATCTAAAGAGTCAACTTGGTCCCACCTTCCATGGCTTTTCCTTTGCAAAAGGGTCTGATCTTTCACACTTACCTCATGATTGATTTTTTTGGTGTGGTAGATGTGCTATGATTCTCAAAGCTTGATCTATATAAGTCTCTCCTGATGGTTTGAAATAAAGATTCCAGGGCCCTGCCAGACTTCCTGAACCAGAATTTGCTCCTGGAAATCTGAATTGAATCCATTCTCACTTATCCTTAGATGTACTAGTATGTGAGAAGCCCTGAGAGTCTGAAGAGGAAGGAAAGAACAATCAATTGCTATTCTCTGCTTTTCTTCCTTTAGATTTAAGCCTTAAAGATTCCTTAGCTCAGGTCTAACTCAAGGAAATTTCTAACTCTCTAGAACATTGAGGCAACTCTTCTTCAAACCAAACTCAACATAACTTCTTTTCCACTGAGCTTCAGTTCTTCTCTCCTGTCTTGATTTGTCAAGTCTTGAGTCCAAAGCCTCCCTCCTTCTGAACTCCAGCAGAATACTGCCAATTCTTTTGGCCCAGATGTTTGCCAGATATATATAGCCTTAGGCAAGTCAATTAGTCCTATGACTGGGTTTCCTCAATTTTACAATGAGTATATAACATCCCTCTCTGAGTACTGTTGTAAAGGTGCCATGAGACTACATATTTAACCTAAGACCTCATATTTAGTTGAAATTCAGTAAAGGGAATCCATTAATGGGTGTACCATTGTACAAACCCTGTCTTGAACCTAGGCTGCTGGGATCCATATATTGCCATGTGGTCTGTCTCCTCTCTCAAACCTGTATTCCTACTCTGAATAATCTTTGATTCTTTGTATTTTCAGACAACCTTTCCCCAGAGAATATTCAGCACACAGTACCAGGTAACTATGTGACTAAACTATATATCTCAGATCTAGCACATAAATTAATATTAATCACAAGTATTTTGTATTCTAAAGTGCTCACAAGTCAGTATGGCCAAAACCAGAAGAAAATTTCAATGATGTTCAGGGTCAGTGAGAGTTTAAGAAACAGATATAGACTGCTAGTTTCAGGACTGTGGATTACAGTGTTCTAATGTGTATCTATGAACAAAGGTGGGAGCTTTGCAGACTCAGAAATTCTAATTTTGAGAGTTTATCAACATGATCAGTTTTAATTACTAATTATTTCTTATTAGTGTATGCATGTATGTGGTATATGTGCATGTATGCATGAGTGTTTGCATGAGTATGAGCACTTTTGGGGGATGGTTGCATGTGCAATGTGTGTGTATATGTATGTGGAGGCCCAAAGTTGACATTACTCTCTATTTGTTGAAGCAGGGTCTCTCAGTTGAACCCAGAGCTCACCAATTGTCTAGTCTAGCTAACCAACTTGCTCTAGGGATCTCCTTTCTTTACCTCCCTAGTGTTAGGATCTCCAGAGGCCTCTATACCTGCCCGGTTTTCATGTGGAATTTGGGAATCTGACCTCCAGTGCTCATACTTGTGTGACAAGCACTTTATGCACTGAGCCAGTCCCACAGTTCTCTTTATTTTTTTGTTTTGGTCTTTTTTTTAATGTCTTTTTGAAGCAGGGTCTCCCTGTAGCCCCAGCTGTCCTGGAACTCACTATGTAGACCAGGCTGGCCTTGAACTCACAGAGATCTGCCTGCCTCTGCCTCCCAAGTGCTGGGACTACAGGCATGCACTGCCACGCCCGGCTTTGTTTTGGTCTTTTTGAGACAGGGTCTCCCTGTAGCCCCAGCTGTCCTGGAACTCACTCCATAGACCAGGCTGGCCTTGAATTCAGAGACCCACCTGCCTCTGCCTCCTGGGTGCTGGGATTAAAGGCGTGCACCACCACGCCCACTACAGTTTTATTTCTAATACCAGAAAATTATGCACAGACTTCTTATCCAACAGTAGGGATCTGGAAAACTACTACGTAGTAAAGCCACAACTGAATATCCCACAGTCATAAAAAATGATACTCTAAGGAGTGGAAACTGTGGATTTTTCCCTTCCTTTATGTACCTTAAATTTTATGTGCATGTCTTAATGTAATTGCAATAATAAAGAAAGTTAACATTTTTAAATTTATTTTTATTTTGTATGTATGAGTGTATTGCCTGCATGCATGTAAGTACACCTGTGTCAATGCCCACGGAGGTCAAAGAGGGCATCAACATCCCTGGAACCAGAGTTATGGACAGTTGTTAGCTACCATGTGGGTGCTAAGAACCCAACCCAGGTCTTCTGCAAGAGCATCCAGTATTCTTAACCACTGAGCCATCTCTCCAGTCCCAAAAGTTAACAATTTTTAAAGATTTATTTTTATTTTTCTGGGAGTATGTGTATGTGCGTGTGTGTGTTATATGATCAGTGTGTATGGGCTCCCATAGAGGCTGGAAGAGGGTATCAGATCCCGTAGAGCTGGAGTTCCATATGATTGTAAGCTGCCTGATTTGGGTCCTGAGAACTGATCTTGGTTCCTTTGGAAGATCAGCAAATGCTCTTATCCACTGAGCCATCCCTACAGCTCCCCTCCCCCGCAAAGAGAACATTTTAATAAAAAATAATAATAAACCTCACTGATTTGTACTTGTGGAATAAAACCACAAGGAGTTAACATGGATCCCCCTGAGGCCAGGAACACTGGGAGCTCTCATGCTTTAGATGCCGGGCTGCCCTCTCTGAGCCTCAGTTGATCTCAGCTTCTTCCATTTCTCCACTGTTCTTGGTAGGAAAAGAGATGGATATAAAGCAGTCCACACACTGGCCATCCTAGGATGGAAAGCAGTTGCCATAGTTACAGATCTAATTTGTGTGATTCAGTCAGCTGTGGTAGAAAGGACTGAGGTTAAAACCAGGTTGGGAGAGTTATAGGAGCTACTGGTAATGACTGGCTGTTCCTTCTCCATCCTTCCTGCCTTCTAGAAAATTCTTATGCCTACAAGTTGCCAGTACCACAGTGGCCACACTGTTTCACCAATAATACTTAGAAATTAAAATAGTCTGAGCTTGGCCAGCAGAAGTCCAAAATGACTACTTATATCACTGGGTATCCCCTCCAACCCCCAGTTTCCTGAAAAGACCGTTACAGGGAAAGGGTCTGATTTATGGCTTCTGTAATGCTGGCCAACCTAGGCCATAAACCAGATATGGGACCAGCTGTTCAGCATCTGTGATCAGATAAGATTCTCAGTAACCAGGATGGTGGGGCTTTAGGAAAACCTCCAGCATCTTCCTGGTTGCTGGTCTTTCCCTCCTGTTTGCCTCTGCCTCTCTTCAATCTGAAAACCAATGACCTGATCAAGTTAAGAGGGCAAGTGAGGGTTTGGAATGAGTTGGCTCAAATGGAAGAGGAGAGGTGAAAAAGGTATTTGGCTCACCTGGAATGAAGCAGATCTGGGTGATGGGTGGAAGAGTTGAAGGCAGGCAGGCAGCAGGCACCCACGCTCCTGTCTCCTGGCATGTTCTGGGAAAAGACAACTTCAGGCTTTCCCTAGTTAAGAAGGCTATAGGGAACCTCTGTGTGCCTCTCAGTAGGGGTAGGGCAGAGACCTTGCCAGTTTCTTGTCCTAAGATCCCAGGACTCAAATGAATCACTAGCTGAGTACTATGGGATGCCATGTTGGGTCAGCAGCAAGTTCCCTTTCAGGTTTGGCTCACAGGCTCCTCACAGGTTCCTTGGTTGAAAGTGGAGCGCATCTTGTGCTAAGCATCCCAGGAGCAAGGACAAGCAGCTGTTCCCTGTCTAGGAGTGAACCTCCATTTTTCCTACTATGTTCTTAGGCCTTGTTGGTAGCTGAAAGGGACCAGTGTCTGAA